ACTGAATTGTTTAACTGGCTGCCTTTGTTAGATTTTTTCATTCAAATCTCAACAAATGTTTATTGATTACCTACTCTATGCCACGTCCTCTTCTAGGTATTAGAGGCAGAGCTGTGGGATAGAGATACAAACCTCCTGCCCTCTGAAAACTTACTTTAAAAGGGATAATAAAAACAAATAAATGTTAACAATAACTGTAATTAAAAGTATATATAGGGCTACCAACTGTAGAAAGGCAGATGATGAAAAGAGAGTGACTAGTATATGGGGGGATGGATTATAGGCAGAGAAAAAGATAGAATAGTCAGAAATATTGAGTTTTCAAAGTGTTTCGACAAAATTACAGTTCTATATTTTGAGTGTCAGTAATCAACTTTACTCCTTGTCATCAATTTTACAGTAGGATCAGTTGTCTTTTGAGCCTATTAAAATAGTCTCATTGGCATATAGGAAAGTAAATATTTTTTATTTGTACAACCGAAGGGGGAAAGGGAATGAGAGAGAGGGTAGTAGAGGAGGCTTCACACAATTTAGTTCATTTAGAAGCCACCATCAAAGACTTGAAAGACATAGGTAGGCCGCTTTCTCTACCTTCCCCGTTAAATTCTCAGACTTGAATGCTACAAATAATTGATGGACTCTAGAGAATGATGTTAAATTCCTATAAGCAGCACAGGTTGTGCTCCCTAGGAGCAGATTCTAAGATGGAGATTTACATGCAGCAGGTTCGTTACAAAGTGTTATTGGAATCCAAATTTGTGGAAGAGAAGGAAGGAAACAAGATTGGGAGGAGGGAGAAGTCAAGGCATTGTGCATCTTCAGTGAAAGCCCCAGCAACTTACTGAGTAAAGAATTCGTAGACCAAGTTGGGGAGAGAGTGCTCAGCCTTTCCACTTTCCCCTACCATTCACTTGATGCCCCCTTTTTTCTCCAGAAGGTGGACATATCAGTGGGGGACGTGTCTGTCTTTAGCTGAGGCAAACCCCTAAGGAGGCTAACAACTGAAAGCAGTCTTCTGGCAGCACTCTCAGCAGCTGTGGAATAAACCCTGTTTTTCTGAAGGGGAATCTGAGCAGTGCATCACAATATCCCTCACAATAAACTTAGTCTGGTGATGACTCAAACTGTAGCTGTTTTTCTAGATGTTTCTGTTACTAAATGGAACAATATGGCCCCTGGAATTTTACTCGCAAAAACTGATTTAGCTACCTGCTTTCTGATCTACTGAAATGGACCTCTCAGGATGAAATTCATAAATCTGTATTTTTATAAAGATCCCCAATGATTATAGACCCTCATTCTGGAAGCATTTGTTGTGGTTCCAGACAGTTGTGTCTCTAATTCTGGTCAATGGAATGTTAGTGGAAGTACGTGTGCCACTTCTGAGTTTTGCCCTCAGAGGAGGAGGAGCACACACTCACCTCTCCCATTCTACTTTCCTGTTGATTGCAATAAGAATGAGATGGTAGCAGCTAGTGGGAACCATTGTGGGTCAACAAGATGGAAGCTGGACAGTGCATTCTGCAATAAGACTGAAGAGACTAGGCACAGTCATGCCCCTCTGGGTCACCTACCCAGTTTTGTGTATGAGAGAGAAATACCTTTCTATCTTTTTAAAGTCACTGTTATATTGGCTTTTTCTGTAATCAGCTTAAATCTTAGTAATATGAAGATAGTGGGTCCTCATTATTGAAGTGAAGGACATGCTCTCACACTTTGTTCACCTACATTAGGAAATAGACCCTAGTGGATTTTGGAAACATCAAGATTGATGGATTAGTGGATTTTGGATTTTGGATTTTGGAAACATCAAGAAACCTATACGGATATAAATGTCTTTCTTAGGTCTACTCATTGGATGACCTAAGACCTGATAACTCTAGAGGGACTCAGACAAAATATAAGATCAGTTCAGATTATCGAGGTTTTGGTAAAAGCTACCTCAATGTTTAACTCATAATCTGTGTTGATCCAATGGTTCTAGAAGAATCTGTAACAGAAAAGTAAAACCTAGCAGAGGGGCCAATGACAAGTCGTAAAATGGTCATAGCAATAACAGCTTCAGAGCTTTGGGAGCAAGACCACGCTACCTCCTGAGGCAGTTCTTCTATTTTCAGCAAATACTAGCTTTCTGTCAATACTAAAATAACAGGTGACTGTGAACCAAAACCCCTCATCCTGGAGGGGGCATTAGCTTTTCTATGTTGCCATAGATTTGGGCATTCTCAGCAGCAGTCCATCATCAATCCAAAGTCATATATACAGAATAGAGTCCATTCAGGTCTCAAAGGCACAAGTCAGAAGGTCAGATCCAAGCAATCATTTCTTAAGGCTCACAATGCACTACTATCTGGCTGCCACATTTCTCTGAATTAATGCCTTTTGCTTAGAGGAGGAATTGCTTATAACCATTTAACACAGGATGAAAAGACTCAAAGCTAGATTGCCTACAGACCCGGTGTCAGTGAAAAGTGAGCCTACCTTAGGAGTGCTGTGAACAACAACTGTAAAGGAAAATTCTCTATAGCCACTGTGCTTGGCAGAAGATTGGCCTGAAGTCAGGATTCACACTGATTTCTCAGACACAGCAAATAATTTGTATAGATAGCCAGGACTTGAGGAGAGAAAAAATGGAGAATGTCAAGAAGGGTTGGGGGAATTGTATGAATAATTCAGAATATATCCATACCTGAACGTAAGTGGATGCTTAAAGAAGAAGGTAGCAATTGTAGCAGGAATGAGGGTCATACATGGGTTCAGCAGCCTAAATTCCCTCCACTGAAGCCACTTGGGATACCACCATGCCAATAATCATGGTACTGTGATATAAATGGAAGACAGTGATCTTCCATTTTCATACTATCATGTCACTCAGATACTTGGTAAAAAGGAGACAACTTTGATCCTTTTCTGGTGGTGGGAAGACAGCATTTATTTTCTCTGAGACACCCAAGTATGGATTGGCATTTCCTTTTTATGTCTAATATGCCTAGACTAGCACTTCTATCTATAGGCTTATTGAATACTTTATTCATGCCGTGAAATGCTGTGCAGCACTGCTTCTAACCAAAGGAATTTATTTTCAAGTGAAGAAAAGTTCATACAGCATCAAATCAAAGAAAAGAAAGTTGCATACATACATCAATAAATGTATTATACTTTATTATTCACAGATGGTAAACCTTAAAGATTAGCCTACTGAGCCCTCCACTCTGATACCAGCTGAGGGATACTACCCTGTGATGTTGGTGTGCTGTTGGCAGGATGTAATATATTAGCTGGACCAGAAATAGACATTCATTTTATCTCCCTTGTTCTGAAACTCCCAGCTAGCCATTTGGGGTCTCTCATAAGTCTAAAGCAGGCTTACTAAGCAGAAAATGCTGTCAGCTTATTATCTGGGATGATTAATTCTATTAGGTGAAAATAGAGCTGCTACCACGTGGTAAGGACTGTAATGTGGGTATAATGTTGACTCTGTGCTCTATCTACTATTTCCTGAGGTAAAAGCTATTAAAGAAACTCCTGCAACCACAGCCATTTGGATTTTCAAGGGCTCAAGCTCCTCATAATTTTGTGAGATGATGAACTCTGGTATGCATTGAGAGGAAGGAAAACCTGCAACCAGTGATAGACATAGAGGAAAGCCAAAGGCCCTGGGACTGGCTGTAGAAGTGAGACCTGTAATGCCCACTCATAAGGAATTGTTATCCACCTTTGGTGGCAATTACCAATATACTAACACATCTATTTTCTTCTCCACCATTAGACATACAGTGTTTGATGATAGTTAAATTTACCACTAGTCAAAGTGATATAGAAAAGTAAGAACTGGTTCATCAATAGGTTATGATAATTTGGGTTTGCCTTCATGTTAGGAAGGGGGTAAGAGTGTTAATAACTGCACACATTTTACCTATGTAAATCATTTATCCAAGGCACATTTGAATATATATGTTTAGGAAGAAGGATGTGTGTGAAATAACAAGGCAATAGAATGTATTAAAGATGACAGCCATAATATTAGTCAACCTCAACCTCTCCCTTTTTTATTTTTTTGGATGGAGACTTGCTCTGTCACCAGGCTGGCATTCAGTGGTGCGATCTTGGCTTACTGCAACCTCTCACCTCCTGGTTCAAGTGATTCTCCTGCCTCAGCCTCCTGAGTAGCTGGGACTACAGGAGCGTGCCACCATGCCCAGCTAATTTTTGTATTTTTTAGTAGAGATGGGGTTTTACCATGTTGGCCAGGATGGTCTCGATTTCTTTGACCTCTTGATCTGCCTGCCTCAGTCTAATCTCTCTTTTTAGCTACCTACTTCACTGGTACACAATATACAAGCACAGGACTGAGTTAGATAGAGAAAGATATTTATTTTGGTTTTGGTCTTGCTGAGTTTGTGGTACCTATAGAGCATCCAGTGAGAGGTGTTAAATTCAAAGTTGTATCAATGTGTCTGAAACTCAGAGGTTGAGGTTGGTGATACAGACTGGAAATCCTCAACGTGTAAATACATCTGCTTAAATTGATGAAATTGGACAAGGACTGAGTAAAATGACAAGCAGAACAGGATGCAACTGGAAAACTAAACTTTAGAGGACTGGCAGAAATAAAGCTGTCCACACAATGTAGGAGCATTAATTTTAAATGATGTCACAGAAAGAAAAAAGAAATGATGTCATAGAAACAAGGAGAAAAATGTCTCAAGAAAGGAAGAATGGAAACGCTGTCAGACCCTGTAGGCAGAATTATAAGAAGGTCACTAGTGTCCTAGCAGGAGGAGTTGTAGTACGGTGGGAGGAGTGATGCAACTGGCATAGGAAGTGAGAGAAGAAAACCAAGTCTACATTTTCAATAAGTGAAGGAAATGAAACAGGAGAAGGACATAAGAAGCTGAAGGATAAAAGGAAAATATATTGAAGAGTCATGATATGATCCAGTTTCTGCTACACTTGCAGAATTCGTTTTGCTGTAAAATAAATACCCTTGCTCATGAATTGCTTGTCAGGTTGTGTTTATTTTTCAGATCCAGTCCACGAGAGAGCAAAATTCCTCATAATGAGAACTCATTGTTTTGAGTGAGATACAAATGTTTAGTTATTCCCACTATTTTAATGATTATTTTTCCTCACTTATAAAATAAATACCAGGCCTGTTAAAACTGGGAAGGTGATGTCAGCATTAACTGTACGTGAAAGTCGTATATGGTTGGCATATGTCTAAACAAGAGCAGGTTGTGATATGCCTGTATTGGTAAGGGATTGTACTCCCATCAGGACAGTCAAGTACAATGTCTCTGAGTTCATAGTTTTCTTCTCGGCAGCAAAGGCATGAATGTTCCAAGAGTAAGGTATCATAATTGTACCTAAAAGAAAAATTCAGTAATAAACATTTTTAGAATTTTAAAGATAAACTGACATCATTACTCAAACAGTAATTGTCTAAGTGACTTAGCAAGCCTTGTAACCAATTTATTCTTTTTCTAGACCTTGCATTTCCCCTGTCACTGTAAAGCTCTGATGTTGCTCAGTGATAAGAAATCTGAAAAGAAGTTATAATCTCATAATCGGAGCATTATGGTGAAAAAGTAAACTAAATAAAATGTTAAATATAACTTAATATGAGATTATTATCTCTATATTAATCTATACATAAAAGTGTACATAAAGGAAATTTCAAGTGTAAGTAATTCAAGAAATTCACTTCTTTGCTTAAATATTTTCTGTAGTCACTGTATGAAGATGAGTACATTTGTTACAAAGGTATCATGCTTGGCATATTTAGAAAACTACTTCGGAATGACTCATCACTATTTTAAGTGAATATTTTAGTTCTCAGATCTTAATATTTTAGATCCTTCTTTCATTTGGTCCTTATAACAAAATAGTATTGCCCTCACATAAAAGTTTTTCCATGTAATATTTTAAAAGGTTCATTTTCTCCACAAGCTTACAAAGTTAACACACGATACACATTCAAAGAACTCACTTGACAGTCTTTTCACATTCCCCTGCGCATTTTGCCATCTGAACTCTTTTCTTGCAACCACTGTAGGTAACAGTCACATTCACAAGGGAAGATCTGCAATTATTCTTACCTAAAACGAAAAGGAAAAGAGAGTCAGAAGTGAGGTTTAACATTAACAATTGCTAACCCTCCATTTTCTTAACCTATAAATAATAGCAACTACTTCACAACATGATTGAGGAGATTAACCATCTCAGCACCATTACAAGGTAGCTGGTTAATACTCAGATTACTGGTATCTTGTTCCTGTTATCACTATCACACTATCACAGGTGAAGGGGTTGAGGGGAGAAGTAAGAGGAAGGGAGAGGGGAAGAAATGGGCAGACGGATTATTTTGACATCCATCAAAAACAGGGGTGGATGAATTATTTTTGACATCCATTTTCTCATCACTGATTATCCTTATGATCTAATACACCATTTATAACACAACTTGCTGATGTCAAAAGAACAAGCTAATCTTTTCCATGAAAATTACATTTGTTCCCTTGTAAACATTGTTTTTTACTGAGAAGAATGTTGCAGTCAACATGAATACATAGCCATAATACATTATGTACAAATATCCAGTGGAAGTTTACACAGATAGGCTAGGTTACCTGTTGTGTTAAAAATACAAGATACTTTCTCTTAATGATCTGCCATTTTGTTTTAAAGAAATTAAACTTTTGTCAACAGCTTACATTTTTCTCTGTGCAGAACTTAACTTTACTCACATGTATAGCAACATTTTTTGGAATCATAGATTCTGTCTTCCTGTAGGGGTAAGAAAAAAGATAAAAACGAGAAACGTTGTTCTAAATTTTTCTGCAAATAATACAACACTTCTTAATTGGTTAAAATGCATCACATCACAAAGAGGAAATGGAACAGATGGACAATCTTACCCCAGATCTAGTAAGCAAAAGGCAGGAAAGGAGAGACATCAGCTTAGTAATAAAAATATGACTAAAATTTTTCAACAATGGGCAAAGGAAAAATAAGCTTTAAACTAAATTCTTGTTAAAGATAACATTAAATAATATTAGATTATTTCTCACTTACTGAAAAATGCTTTAACAATAATATTACTACTACATACTAGAAACTCACAATTAGAAGCTGCACCTTTGAGAAATTGATAGGTTTAAAATTATAACAAAGTAAAAGCATGATAAATATTGAAATCCGGTATTAGAGCTCGAAAATAAAACATTAAACCATATTATCAATTATATCTTCAGAAAGAAAAATGATAACTTAAACCTCCCTTAATAATTGAAACTTAAGCATTCATTAATATAAAACTCAGCCATACTTGGGGAGCACAGAAATGGAGAAAACTGTGACACAAAGAAAGATCTAAAGTACCCAGACATGATTATATAGAAAAATTGGTATCCTTATAGATAATTATTTGAGCTATTTTTAAAAGTTAGTGAGTTTTTTAGTTTAGAAATAGCAAAATGCTTTCTATAATAACTGACTCCTTCTAGATGAGCACTAAATTAAGTTTTATAAAGCCTGCAAAACATGAGAGCCTTTCTTGATATGAAAAAAACTATATACTTACAATAAAAGATGAGCATGTCTGGAATCACCTGGGCTCTGGATATAATGCATTTGTTTAAAGAGCTATCGATCTACCAGATATTTATGTCTGCTAGCCAGACGCAAATATTTTCTAATGAGGTTGAAGACAGGTTGATTTTTCTTTTTTTGAGAGGAAATCTTACTCTTGTTCCCCAGGCTAGAGTGCAGTGCTCGGCTCACTGCAACCTCCGCCTGCTGGGCTCAAGCGATTCTCCTGCCTCAGCCTCCTGAGTAGCTGGGATTACAGGCACCTGCCACCATGCCTGGCTAATTTTTATATTTTTAGTAGACACGAGGTTTCACCATGTTGGCCAGGCTCGTCTCGAACTCCTGACCTCAGGTGATCCGCACGCCTCGGCCTCCCAAAGTGCTGGGATTACAGGTGTGAGCCACTGCGCCCAGCCAGGGTTTGATATGAGAACTGAACCTCAGTGTTCATTAGTTAAGATGACTTACTTCTGCACACCAGGTCTGCTCTGGGCAGTCCTGGACTACTGCAGCAAAGCCAGTGTCTTTGCAGGAATAGGAGACACAGGGGTTGCTGGGGTCATCGAATGAAGCACCAATCTGGGAGGAAAAGAGGAGGACGAAAACAAAATAATTATTCACCTTGATTTCTTTTAGAGGTTTGCAAGAATATCAGTTTAAAAATTCAAATTCATGTTTAGTGATTTTCCAGAGGCACTTTGTCATTAGGTTAATAGTAAAGAAAAGATGGTTTGAAAGTCTTTCACTTCCATGAATAAACCAAATTTGTTCATTGAGACACAAAATGTGTCAAGATTCTCAATCCTCAAATGAAGATTCACCAACAGATACTCTATTATATTTTCAAGAAATTTTCAAGACAGGTTTTTTTTTATAGTGATCAAGCACTTAATTGTTATGTTCTAAGCTTAAGGGGAAATGAGAAATTTAAGTGGGGGAAAAATGGCACAAAATAGGCTTATCATATTAAAACAAATGACAAGTCTCACAAGATGTCTTGCTTCTATCTTGGCCTATATTCCTATACTTTTAAAGCTCTCTGCTGTTACTTTATAATTAGCTTATGTTAAATATTCAAACAACAGTTTGAGAAACTGCATTTATTTCACGGCCTCAGACAAGATGAACTTTCTGATAAATTGGAATTTTACTATAAATGATCAGAAGAAAACTTTCCTTTTGTTTCTTAAATATCATCATATTTTTTGTTAAAAAACTACCACAGGTTCAAGTCAGATCAACTTTGAAAACTAAAAATTTAAGAAGTCTAGGTAGAAATGTGAGTGTGATAAATGGGTTATCAAAGTAAAACTCTCATAGGATGTTTTATCTATTACCTAATATACCACATATATTTCATTTTAGATTTTTTAATGTTTACTATCACCATTTCAAGTGTGTTAATACCAATTTGAGAATCATCTGATTTTTATGGCTTCGTTATACTTTTTTCTAAAAAGTTAAATTACTGTCCAAAATGTCAAATTAGTTGTCAAAATCCAGCCTTGAATATATTGTGTTGCTGTAGCTGCATAATAGGGTTCTAGCCCTTTGGGTTTTCTTATTTGATCTCTGACAGCTTGACCATCTGATCTTTCTGGTTATAATTACAGTTTGACTCTGTTCATTGATTTGAATGTTACAAAGTATGTCTTCTCCATCTGGCAAGGCCCATGGGAAATTTTGTTCAGAAGCTCTACTGCTGAGTGGTTAATGATCAAGAATTATGTTTTCCTCCTTTGAAGAGTCCTGGTGAGTGTTACATTTGATGTTCCTTTGGAAGTGGGTGTGGGGAAAAAAATGAATGGATTCCAATCCGTTGTTACTAGGGTTAAAAATATATATATACATACATATATATTTATTATGTAATTTCTTTTATATATATAATATATATACTTACATATATTATATATATAAAATAGGCTAAAAGTCCCTTAATATAGCCGAGTATTAAATTTATGCATATAATTAACAAAAACATTTTAATGAAGAAAAGACCTTACCTCATAGTCAGTATTGTTAAACAAACATGTTCTTGGTTCTGAAAAATAAATACATTGTTTTATTCTAAAATACTATAATTCTATTTATAAAACAGAAATTGTAGATGAGATCATACATAGCAACCAACTGTAATGTTTCTACCCATAATATCATAGTCTTCCTTTAATTTACTGATTATATTCATAACTTAATTCTGGGTGTCCCCCATTCTGAAGATGGTAAGTTTTAAGAACACAAATATTATTATACTAATTCTGTACTATTTATTACACCTGTCTAGTATTATGTTTGACAAAACTGGCAGCTCAAAAAGTATCTCTTGAATATGTTAATAAACAACCAATGAACATATTCAATTAAAATAATGTATTATGAATACACACCACAGTATCCAATTTCACAGCAGGTGTCATTATATTGGAACTTCACAAGCTTTTCACCGGTTTTGCATGTGGGTGGAGAAGGGCACTCCTCAGGTTTACAGTCTATAGTCTTTGCATCAGTACAGGTACATCTGTGGCAATTGGCAGTCCATATGTCTCCAGGCTACATATACAAACCAAGTTTAGACTTCTATTCAAATACAGGAATTAGAGCACATTTGGATTAAAGTAGAGCAAAACTGTGTACTTACAGATTTCTCTTCTCCCAGTGGACCGTGACAAACTGTTAACATCAATGATAAATGGTAATTAAATTTGGCAAAATATAACCATCTGTTATTTATAGATAACCACCAGGTGGCCAATACTGTAACTGGCATTAGGATTTCAGAGTCACAGAATTATACAAGATTTTATGGTGCCTTAAGGTGAATAAAATCAAGTCCACCTGCTTTAAGCAAACTGTTACCAACAGGCATCTCCTATTTTTATGAATCTCAGCAAAGCATAATTCTTAATTTCTCCTGGCAGTGGTCAATCAATCTTATGGCTACCAACTGACTTACTGTTTTGCAGTCTGACTTCAGCTTTTCCAATCCTACAAGTCACCATGGCTTCATAATGGTACACAAGGGGCTTTCTCAGTTTAAGTTATCTGCCATAGTTTGACATTGTTCATTCCTTACCTTCTGGAAAAATGTTCTCCTTCTTCAGAGTTTAATACTCTGAAAATTTTTGTCTTCATGGCAGTTGTCTTACTCTCTCTCATCTTTGCCTCTAACTCTTTCTCTATTCCACAATGTGCACCGTAAACACAAAAGAATGACTCTAAAAGCAGCTCCAGCCCAGATCTCTTTCATAACTTTGGAGGCAGTCCTCTCTACCTCTAGAACTGAATCCTGGCAGACCTAAGAAACCCAAATTCGAGTGGTGCACACAACAGATTGTATTAGCTTTCCAAACAGCTTCTCTTTAGACTGGGGCCTGCCTTCTCTACAGATTAGGAACTATACTTTTCAAATCAATCCAAGCTTAAAATCAAGGAAGCCCATTGAGTATTTTTCTTTCTATCACTGGCATCAAATTTTATCCAATCTGTATTTCACCATCTTCATTTCTCCGTTCCCTTATTTACTTGCTACAATGCACCTCCAAGATTCTTACTACGTTTTTTGATCTAGCATATTTACTGGCTTTTTTGAGGGGATTAACTCTGATTTCATATCTCGTTGATCCAATTCAGGTACGTGATTTCCTAAAAGCTAATTTTCATTCAATTACTCTTTGACGGTCTTATAGTTGTGTTATAAACAAACACTTATATTTAGCAGTCTGGCTTTCGAGGGTTCATATTGTGGACCTCAAACTGGACCTTTCTTTATCTCATTCCTCTCATTACATGCCCTGGGACTGGTCTGTTTGTGTTCTCAAATTATCAATATTGTAAAGAAATCTGGAGAACCTTAAAATATACAACACAAGTGAACAGACCAATATAGGCACTCAGTAGATAATACATAGTTTATATTTACTTTTGAATTTATTTTTTCTGCTGGGAATTAAAATTTTGGCTATTTCTCTGGAAGACCTTCTTTTCCACTATGACTAAGGTCAGAGGAATTATTTTTTAGTATTTTTTTTGAGATTGACTATTTTTTTTTATTATTATTTTTTTTTTTTTTTGGTACTTAAGTTTAGGCGTACATGGTGACAACGGCAGGTTTTTACATTGTATTTACATGTGCCAGGTTGGCGGGGGGTGCTGCACCAGATTAACTCGTCATTTCGTTTAGGTAATTCTCCTAATGTACCTTCCCCCTCATGCCCATCCACGACAGGCCCCAGTGCGTTGATGGTTTCCCCACCCTGTGGTTCAAGCGTTCTCATTTGTGCAGAATTCCCCCCTATGAGTGAGAAATGCAGTGTTTTGTTTTTTGTCCTTGCGATAGTTTGCTGAGAATGAGTGGTTTCCAGCTTAATCCATCCTACAAGGACGATGAACTTATCTTTTTTTATGGGCTGCATATTTCTAGTTAAATATTTGTTTTACTTGTACAAGTTTCCTTAAAAGTTACTTAATCTGGCTAAACGGATTTTTCTACTATAGCTCATCCCTCAAGTTGAAATTATCTAGTTTAAAAAGATGCTTACTATCAAGTGACAATATTTTGGTTAAGGTATCATAATTATATGAAACATTTAATAGGTAAACCTTGTTTTGATCTGAGTAACAAGGTATATTTGTTTGGTTTGGTTTCATTGGTTTGTGAAGGAGGAAATGAACTATTTACTCACTATTAGGGGAATAAAAGCTAAGTTAATCCAGTACATGTTTTCCTATTTTATAACATTTCCATGGCTGGTGACTTTTATTAGCAGGACCTCTGAAATTTGATTGACGAGAGTAGCCATTAATGCAGAGCAATTCTGAAGTCGTTGTACTCTTACCTGGAGCGGGTGGAAGTGAGGCTAGACATTCTGTGTAAAGACAGGAACCTCAAGTTAGTCTCTGAAGTTACTGGAATAGTATTGTGGCAAGTATCGTTATCTAATTCATTATTCTATTGCTGAAAATAATTGTCTACATAGCTAGTCTTACAAATAGATATATTCCCATCTATCTCCCCGTCCTGCTCCTCGCTGCATTTGAAATTCCATTGTACAGTGTTTCCTTTGGACCTCATATTTTAATGAGAGAAAAATATAAGTATCAAAAGGAGAAAACATCAAAGTAAACTCTTCAAAATTTTTTGAAGGCAGTTCTAATGAATAGGACAAAAAGATTTAAAAAGGGAAAATGATAATTCTGCTACAGTATAAAATGAGTATTAATTACCCAGTTTTAGTCATTTAAAAACCTTTATTCTCCTTATCTTCTTGAAATACTTCAATTTTGCTCTATCTTCTCCCCCAACAAATGCTTTAAACTGGCAATATGTATCTTTTTTAGCCTTTACACATCATATGTTTTGGTCAATCCAACAATTCACTCATAAATTTCAAACTCTATTCCGAAACCTCTAAAAACAAAATGAATATTTTATGCAAACTGGCCAGTCGCAGTGGCTCACGCCTGTAATTGCAGCACTTTGTGAGGCCGAGGTGGGCAGATCACTTGAGGCCAGGAGTTTGAGACCAGCCTGGCCAACATGGTGAAACTCCATCTCTACTAAAAATACAAAAAGTAGATGGGTATGGTGGTGCTTGTCTGTAGTCCCAGCAACCAGGGAGGCTGAGGCAGGATAATCGCTTGAACCCAAGAGACAGAGCTTGCAGTGAGCCGAGATCACGCCATTGCACTCCAGCCTGGGCAACAGAGCATGATTCTGTTTAAATATGTATCTCTCTCTCTCTCTCTCTCTCACACACACACACACACACACACACACACACACACACACACATTTTTCTTGGTAGGTTGAGATATATATGTGTCTGTGTATATATATACACACACACATACACACATGTATATGTATACATATGTGTGTATATGTGTATATATGTGTGTGTGTGTGTGTGTGTGTATATATATCTCAACCTACCAAGAAAAAGGCTGACCTAGGAGAAACAGAATATTTGAAGAGAACTTAAAATTTCTACATGTTTAGGTAAAGTGATCCCAACAACTAATAGGCCCAAAATAGATTACAAAATGAATTAAAGGTATGGAAACTTGGGTAATCAAATATTTCCAACTCTTTACGTAGGGAGGCTAAGCCAGGTGCTAATTATGGATGCTTAGCAAAGTAACAGAAACCAGCAACAAGAGAGAAAAAAGATCAATTAGGCATGAATACAAGAGAAAATATTCCCTGACCAGGATTGCAAGCGTTCGTTGGAGATGTTTGTAAGAGGAGCCACAGAGAACAGTCACCTAATCACCACATTTGTATCAGAGTAATTTCTCAACTATCTGATCATGTCAGGCTCTTGATCAAATCCTTAATGGTATTCCATTACTATAAGGATAAAGCCTTGTTGAAGTTTGGTTCTTCATAAAATTTCCTCTACTTACGTTTTTGCTCTCATTTCCTCCCTGAACCTTACGCAGTCATTGCCAACATCTGGTTGATTCCTGAACTCCCCCATGAGGTCTTATATCTTTATCTTTTCCAGGGCTGTTTGGCAGGAATACCCTCCCCATCCATGCCAAAGTTAAACTCAATCATGCCATTTCTCATGCCTTTACTCCACACTACCAATTAATAAGCAGAAATTAACACTACTGTCACTCCACCCCCGGAACCACATATTTTGTGCATATTTTTGGTATCACTAAATATATACTATCTGTGCCCAAAATAATATCTTCCTCACACACACACAGAATAAAAAATGGCAAGTGCTGCATCCTGCTGATGTTTTTGATTTTAATGTCTGCTAGAGAGTTTAGCACATATAAGGTACTAAAGAAATATTAGTTGACATAGTAACAAAGAAATTAGGGCTTTTCCTATACTGACCTGTTTTATTTTCAGTTTCTACTTCTCTGGTTGCCACGACAGTGGTTTCTGAGAGGAAATAAATGGATGGTATTGTGATTTTAAAAATTAGAATAACCTACACATATCAAGTCTGTGTTTATGTACATGCCCAAATGATGGCACAAATTCATACTCAAGGAAAGCTTTGTGTGGAACAGACAATTTATTCCAGTTCATTTGGGTCATCTGATTTTACCTGACTGGGGTACTTGTGGTCTTGTTGGCACTCCAGCTGGAACCAAGGTGGAGCCTCGCAAAAGGAAATATAAGACATTTTAGGACTAGCACCCTTCATAATACCCTGCTCAGAATTCTCAATCTGCATGAAGAAGTCTTTAGGAGGGGAGCCCCAGTGAAAACCTAAACCAAAAACTCCCAGAGGGGGGGGAAAAAAAAAGGTATCCTTAGTATAATTTCAAAGTTGTGTTCTAAGAGGAAGTTGAATGCCATCATCCTGGCCTCGGTCTTCCACTTCTCTCCTACCTCTCTCCTCCTAACTCAACTTCTTATGTATAATCGAAGCCACACTGAATACTCACCTGTTTGCACTCCAGTTCCAGAAGTTATTTTGACTCCTGCGGAAGCAGTGACTGCTTAAAAAGGAACAAAAGTGGTGAGTACAGGGGACTGGAGAAGCTAGAGCTTAACTTCATTTAAAAAAAATGTTTTATTCTTCATGTTTTAGATGGACAGAAAACAACTATGTATTTTGTACATGATGTTCTGAAGAACTACATTATGCCACCCTCTTAGCACTTTTCAAGAATATATTATTAACTATAGTCACGATCTTGTGCAATAGATCTCTTGAATTTACTCCTCCTGTCTAAATGAAATCTTGTATCCTTTCACCAACATCTCCCCACCATACCCCTCCCCATATATACAACTACCCCAACCACTGGTAACCATCATTCTACTCTTTACTTCTGTGAGAACTGCAGATAAGCTATCCTGTCTTCTGAGGGGCCACCGAGACAAATGCATTTATTACTATTTGACTTACCTGTGGTAGGAGGTCCAGGAGCAGTGGTTTCGTTAGATGCTTCCTTGGAAGGACCTAAAATGAGCAAGGGAAGAGCAATACACTTTTTCTGATCTCAGAAGAGCATTTACTTAAGACACCTCCATGTGGAACAAGAGTCTCAAAGCAGTTGGAATACACTAACACATCTACTAATGCTAGCTCACGCCCCTGCCGTGGAAACACTAAGAACTTCCTATTGTAGCAATCCCTTGTTCACAGAGGTGAAGTGATGATTCTTCTTTGACCCTGATACATGTTTCTCTTGTGGGTTTCCTTTCTCTAAGTGATGAGAGCTTTTCTCACACTTTACTCTATACATGTTTCACTTCTGGTGCCCCTTCTCTAAATGACAAGAGTTTTTCTCACGCCTAACTCTTCATGTAACTTGGTTTCTTGGTTCTCCTGTATTAATTTTGGAGGGAGAGAGTGGGAAAAAATGAGAAAATGAGAGACTTAATGTTGCCCTTAGCTTAACTACATTTTAGACAGGTTTGTTCCTAGCTATTGGCTCTTAACCTCCCTTTTCTTATTTACTTTAGAAAACTTGCCTTACTTTTAAATTCTTCCTCTGCCCCTTTGAGATGTAAATCTTCTCCCACTCTCTTGTCAATCTTACAATTCATAAATATCTTTCTCAAGGACCTGACAGCCACTCTTTTGAAATATAATTATCAAGAAAAATAACGTCTCTATCTCCCAATCTCTGTGGGAGGGCAGGGGCCTAACTTTGACCTGATTAAGTGCCAATTACCAAACACAGATGGCCTAATCGTATACGTTGAAGTCTCTCCAAACATTCTTCATTACTTTTCCACTAGCTTAGCCAAGCACTAAACAATTCTCCTGCCTTTTGCTTTATCAGAGCTGAGTTCAGTCTCTCTCCCCTATTGCAATGGTTTTGACACTTATTGTAATAGTCTTGAACAAAGTCTTCTTTGCCTGTTTAACTACATCTGGTGCAATTTTATTTTGCAGTTGAAGTGTGACATTCATTCGTAGAGATAAATACTGCCTATCTTTATTGACTTTGTAAACAGTATTTACTTTGGTGTTAAAGACACAGAAATGTTGAGCATGTAGTCTTCATTTGAGACAATAATTTATATTACCTGTGATGGAAGTTTCTGGGATTCCAGTGATTCCACTTGATATTACAGTGGTGCCTGCAAAGGAAAATGAGGGCAAATTCATATCAGCCACAGCCCTTATTCCTATCCTCGGAGATCAACATGAGGAAGAGAAAGCAACTCAGATGACATTCTGGGCCAGTGCTGCAGCTAGCCCACAGGGCACCTTGTGAATTACAGACACAGAAATAACTCCTCTGGACAGATGAGAATTCATGGATTTCAGTGTCTGCTCTCTCCTTTAGTGGTGCCCTGTGTGCCTTCACAGCCTGACCTGGGGACTCTGGCATGAGCCTGAGAAACCCCAAAACAAGAAAACAACCATAGGTGGCTAGGAAATGTAAATTCCCTAATGGAACTTCCTGAGTCTTATCTTTACCCCCAATATTTCCCTATGCTGAAGCAATGGATAGGAGTCATTAATGAGAACCCAGTGGAGTTAAACAGATTTAACTACTGACAGACACTCATTTAACCCTAAGAAAGGCAAAGAAGAATGAGGTAGGAATTGATGTGTGGATGCTACAGTCAGTTCCACAGAAGGGATCTTAGTTTTCTAGCCTTAGGTTCTTGTAGCTACCTACTAAATATTTACATACCTGTGTTTGAACTTCCAGAAATAATTATGCTAGAGGCTACCTCAGTGGTGCCTGTAATAAGAGGAAAGGACACAACGCCTTTCCCATCATCAGAAATGTATGGCTTTTCCACATAACCTGGTTTCTCTGAAGCAACAGAAAACAATTTAACAAGTTTTCTTGCACTAAATGCTAAGCCTAGCATGTTTTCCAATTGACTCTTTCATAATTGTATGTTCAAGGGAAATATGGGAGAGGAAAGTCACAATTGCCTCATATATCTCATTTCTCTAGATCTAGAATCATCCAGACTTCAATTACTAAATTTGAGAATGTGTTTCTTATACGCACATGATTTACCTCCAGTAAAAATTTTCTACAGTAAATGTAAGAAAACGGACAAGTACTCCAGAGAAAGAAAACCAGAAAACAAAATGTGTATAAACTTGTGATCAAAGGTTAAATATCTAAATCAAAGCCTTAATCAGCACAATTACCTGCATCTATTGAATAATCTCTTAATCAGCAAAATTACCTGCATCCATTATAGTAATCTCACCTTCTTGGCTGCTGGTGACTCCTGTTGATCCTGGGGTATTGCCTGACAAGACCAAGGGAGTAAAGAAAGGATGTGTCTAGATAATTATTAATACATCTACAATATATCTTGGAAAAATCAGAGAATTGATCTAGGTTGGCCTCACGATCTCTTATTAAAGGGAAAGCAACCACCTTCCAGCCACATTCATTTTCATTCAAAATCTGTATGTAGCAAACTCAAATGGAAAAATCGTGGAGAATCTAAAATGTGAAAAAACTCACCTAATGAAATTTCTGTTTCAGTGGTTCCAACATAACCTTTAAAAGTTGTGGCCTCTGTAAGAGCAACTTAAGAGAAGTGGAAAAGATGGAGAGTTTGTCAACATGAAAATGATATGGCAATAGATGATGTTGTTATGAGATAATTTACTAGTTTTATTAATGTTTTTAATTTTTGTGCATACATAGTAAATGTATATACTTATGGGGTACATGAGATGTTTTGTTACAGGCATGCAATGTGAAATAAGAACATCATTAAGAATGGGGTTTCCATCCATTGAGCCACAAACAATCCAATTACACTGCTAACTGAGAGCCATTTAAAGGAGAATTCCTTTCACTACTTGACTTACCTGTTCTGAAACCTCCAGGTAAGGCTGTTGTCCCAGAGCCTGTCACAGTGTAGCCTTGGATGAGAGGGAGAAGGAAGAGGAGGGGGTAATATGAGCAGTGTCTGATAGGATAGAAATCATGGTTTAGAACAAATCCATGTGTTTCTGTGAGACAATGCATTCCTTCTCCAGGATTCCTTTCCCAAGAGGTAAACTAAACATGGTTTTCCCCATTTTATAGTGTTCATTTTGGTTAGCTTCAGTCCTCTGGGATCTTTCTTTTCCAAGTTAGCATCATGAACGAGGGCCTTTCCCATCCTCACCTTTTTCAATTCCCCATGCTCACCTGTTTTACTTTCAGTAGGTTGGCTTCTCCCTGAAATTATGTTGGTGATCCCTAAAGGTTAAAAAATGAAAAAGATTGAGAATCTTAATATTTTAATTCTTTCAAGAGAGTTTCCCCCCTTCTACTTTCTACTTTCAAAGTTTCATAACTATGAGGCTAGGTTCTCTGAAAAAATGAAATATTAAAAAATATGTCCCCCGCAAATTCTGGCTGATCCTGTTTGAGATTCTGAATCCCAAAATTAGAGGCAATATGGTCTCCTGGTATAACATGGTATATCCCAGTACTTCAGTACACAGTGCTGTCAAACACATTGGAAATTGCTAAACCAGAACTCCTCTCCTTTTCAGGCTCTTTGCCTATGTCCACCCTTTATGTCCTGGAGAGCCCAAGGAACTCTCTTTGTCTGTTTTCTCTTCTCCCTGTATGTAAATAACATACAGTGGATTATTTAGGGCTATAACCCTAAATAACTCATCAGTACCCATAGTTTCAAATATTGTTTGTAAGCAAATGACTGACAAATCTCTATCCCAGTACAGGCTTCTCGTCTGGGCCCCAGTCACCTTCATCAACTCTTCTGCACATCACTACCTGGAAACCTCAGAGTAATTTGAATTCAAATGATCAAAATCAGACCTTACTGTATCACTTATCAAATATTTTTATTTCCTCTAGTATATTCACAAACTTGGTAGATGGCACCATCACCTATCCACCCAAGCACTCAAATCATGAACTAGAAGTCAGCTAAATTTATTCCTCTCCTTTATCTCCTCAGTACACTTGTTGATTCTAACTGGCTAACATATTGTACACTCTTTCTGCCTCTGTATCCCCTTATGACTAGCTTATTTCAGTCCCTAACTATCTGTCATTTCCAAGAGATTTCAAACTATACAACATACCTCCACCCCTACTCTTACTCTCTTTCATATCAATCTTCTACCTGTGAGTAATTAATATTCCCAAAAAATACAACCTGGGCATGATAATTAACCTATTTAAAAATCCCTTCTCATTGCCCATGAATCAATGTTTTAATTTTTGGTGTTATAATTGAGCCCAATATTATAATAGTCTTATAGAATATAGAATTGATGAGTGATTTTTTTCTTCATTTCATGATATTTCTGTCCCAACTTTGTAATCTAGAAGCTCCAAAAACTTCTCAACATTCCCTCTTTCAATGCTCTCTCAACATCTGGGTTGCGTTCCACAAGTATATTGTATTATTGTATTATAGTTCCCTGAAAATTCCATACTGTTTTACATCCCCCAGACATTTGAATAGAAAAGAGAAAATATTCTTTTCCATCATCATTTTTTCAAGTAAACAAAAGACGGCCAAGATGCCTTAAGTTTATTTCAGTCATCTTTTATTTATCCAGCCTGGAAATCTTGGTTAGTGGTGGCTTTATTTGATATGACAGTAGTATGAGCAAAGACAAGTGTGGAAATATTTTACCTAAAAAGATTCCTGTCCCCATTTAGGTATCTACTTCTGGGAAGCTATGTCCTAACAATGATGTTTCTAATTAAATCTTTAGTCCAGGGTATTCCACAGCATTAATATGACCACCTTCAACAGACTTCAATAAGTCTTCAAATGAAAAGTTTTATCATCTCCTGTCAGGGCCTAAATTTCACTAGTAATTAATGAAATCCTCTGTAATTAATTTCTAGTAGTGGTATTATTTAGTAATTAAGTTGTAGCTCCTGGTAGTAGAGGAAAAAGTTGAGATGACTTAAGTTTGAAATCTGGAAAATATTTCATGTTTTAGTAGAAGACATATTCTCAAAGAAGATGGTCTTTTGCCTGAGGTACTCATAGACAGCTTTCTTTTGTAACTTTGACTAATCCCTGTTGAAATTTCCAGCAAGTGTGATGAAAGAAGATATTCCAGGGGATTTGAAATGAAAATGAAATTGAGGGAAAGATAGTAAAACAGAGAGAGAGAGAGAGACCATAGTAATGACTTTTTTTTTTAACCCAGAGAATAGCATAGACTTGGAAAAATACGCATTTCTTATAAGGCATCCAAGGGCTTCTCTATGCAAAGAAAAACAAAAACCACATTTTCTCCTAGGCTTTCTCATCTCCCAAAACCAACTGTGGCAAAACTGTCATTCTGGAGCCCCTTTGCTGTGGTTAAATACTTTGGAAAGCAGTGCTTTTCCTTTGCTCATCAGTTTTACTTCCTGCGGTGGGGCTCCCTCGTGTTTCAATAGGGATTTCTTGGAAGTGTGGGGTGATTTTTTAAAATTAAATTTATTGGAACCTTATTCATGAGGATAAGCCCATGAGAATAGGTTTAATACGCAATAGAAGTCCAAGATGGGCAAATTAAACATCTTTGCTAACCAAGATATGGCGTTTTCTAGGCTCCTGAAAACTCCAACTGACCATATGAAGGCAAGATGGATAAAGGATTCAGAATAACACATCATTCTTAGTTTCATAAATATCACATCTAAAAAGCTGGTGTGGAGTGGCAAGTTGGAATAAAACAAAAACAAACAAACAAAAAACAAGACCCATCCATCTGCTGTCTTCAAGAGCTCCATCTCACATGTAATTATACCCACAGAGTTAAAATAAAGAAACAAGGATCTATGATGCAAAAGGAAAACAAAAAAGATCAGAAGTTGCTATTCTTAGATAAAACAGACTTTAAACCAACAACAGCAAAAAAGGACAAAGAAGGGCATTACATAGTGATAAAGTGTTCAATTCAAGAAGACGAATTAACTATTCTAGACATATATGCACCCAGCATTGGGATATCCAGATTCATAATGCAAGTAATTCTAGACCTGCAAAAAGACAGCTGCACGGTAATAGTGGGGGACTCCAACACCCTACTGACGCATTAGGTAGATCATCAGGGCAGAAAAAGAACAAAGAAATTCTTGTGCTCACTTCAGCAGCACATATACTAAAATTGGAATGATACAGAGAATATTAACATGGCCCTGCTTTAAGGATGACACAAAAATTCATGAGGCATTTCATATTTTTCAAAGATACAGCATACCAGAATCTCTGGGTCACAACTAAAGCAGTGTTAAGAGGGAAGTTTATAGCGCCAAATGCCCGCATTAAACTGTTAGAAAGATCTCAAAGTAACAATGTAACATCACACCTACAGGTACTAGAGAAACAAAACCAAAGCAACCTCAAAACTAGCAGAAAACAAGAAACAACAAAAATCACAGCTGAACTGAAAAAAAAAAATTAAGATGTGAAAAACCATACAAAATATCAATGAATCTAGCAGTTTGTTTCTTGAATGAATAAATAAAATTGATAGACCACCATCTAGACTAATAAAGAGGATCCAAATAAACGCAATCAGAAATGACAAAGGAAATATTACCAGACTCCATAGAATTACAAAAAAAAAAAAAAAAAAACCTCCCAGAAACTACCACAAATGCGTCTATGCACACAAACTAGAAAACCTGGAAGAAATGAATTCTTGGAAACATATAACCTCCCAAGATTGAACCAGGAAGAAATTAAATTCCTAGACAGACCAATAAAGCGTTCTGAAATTGAATCAGCAATCAAAAGCCTACCAACCAGAAAAAGCCCAGGACCAGACAGATTCACAGATACATACTACCAGATGAATAAAGAAGAGCTGGTACCATTCCTAATGAAACTATTCCAAAAAATTTAGAAGGAGAAATTCCTCCCTAACTCACTCTATGAAGCCAGCATCATTCTGATACCAAAACCTAATGGAGACACGACAAAAAAAGAAAATTTCAACACAATAATCTTGATGAACATAGATGCAAAAATTCTCAACAAAATACTAGCCAACTAAATCCAGCAGCATATCAAAAAGTTAATGCATCATGATCAAGTAGGCTTTATCCCTGGGATGCAAGTTTGGGTCAACATACACAAATGTATGTACCAATAAATGTGATTTACCATATAAAGCTAAAAACAAAAACCACATGATCATCTCAATAGATGCAGAAAAGGCTTTTGATAATATTGAATATCCCTTTATGTTAAATACTCATGAAACACTAGGTATTGAAGGAATATACCTCCAAATAATAAGAGTCATCTATGACAAATCCGCAGCCAACATCATACTGAATTGGCAAAAGTTGGAAGCATTCCCCTTGAGAACTGGAACAAGACAAGGATGCCAACTTTTCCCACTCATATTCAACACAGTACTAGAAGTCCTAGCCAGAGCAATCAGACCAGAGAAATAAATAAAAGGCATCCAAATAGGAAGGAAATAAGTCAAACTATCTTTGTTTGCAGAAGATATTATTCTATACCTAGAAAACCCCATAGTCTCTGCCCAAAAAACCTAGATCTGATCAACAATTTCAGCAAAGTTTCAAGACACAAAATAAGTGTGCAAAAATTAGTAGCATTTTTATACATCAACAACATCAAGGCTGAGAGCCAAATCAAAAAAGACAATCCTATTCACAATAGCCACAAAAAATAAAATACCTAGGAATACAGCTAACTAGGGAGGCAAAAGAGCCCTACAATAAGAACTACAAAACACTGCTGAAAGAAATCAGAGATGATACAAATAGAAAAACATTTTATGTTCATGGATAGGAAGAATTAATATTATCAAAATGGCCACACTGCCCAAAGCAATTTACAGATTCAATGCTATTTAAATCTACCAATGACATTCTTCACAAAATTAGAAAAAAAAATCTATTGTAAAATTCATATGGAACCAAAAAGGAGCTTAACTAAGGAAATCCCAAGCAAAAGCAGCAAAACTAGAGGTATAACATTACCCAACTTCAAACTATATTACAATGCTACAGTAACCAAAACAGCATGGTATTGGTACAAAAACAGACACACAGACCAATGGAAGAGAATACAGAGCCCAGATATTATGTTATACGCCTACAACCATCTGATCTTTGACAAAGCCAACAAAAACAAGCAATGAGGAAATGGCTCCCTATTCAATAAATGGTGCTGGCATAACTGGCTAGCCATGCAGGAGATTGAAGCTGAACCCCTTTCCTTACACCATATAAAAAAATCAACTCAAGATAGATTAATGGCTTTAATGCAAAACCTAAAATTATGAAAACCCTGGAATATAATCTAGGAAATGTCATTTTGGATATAGGCCCTGGCAGAGATTTCATAACAAAGATGCCAAATACAATTGCAACAAAAACAAAACTTGACAAATGGAACCTAATTCAACTAAAGAATTTCTGCACAGCAAAAGAAACTATCAACAGGTTAACAGACCACCTACAGAATGGAAGAAAATATTTGCAAACTATGCATCTGAGAAAGATCTAATATCCAGAACCTACAAGGAATGTAAACAAATTAACCAGCAAAAAACAACCCTATTAAAAAGTGGCCAAAGTACACAGCTATTTTTCATAAGGCATACACACATATGACAAGCATATGAGAACATTCACATTACTAATCATTAGAGAAGTGCAAATCAAAACCACAATGAAATACCATCTCACACCAGTCAGAATGGCTATTATGAAAAAGTCAAAAACAAAACAAAACAAACAAAAAAAAACAGATGCTGGTAAAGCTGCAGAGGAAAGGGAATTGATCGTTGATGTGGATGTAAATTAATCCAGCCACTATGGAAAGCAGTCTGGAGATTTCTCAAAGAACTTAAAACAGAATCACCAATTGACCCAGCAATCCCATTAGTGGGTATCTATCCAAAAGAAAACAAATTGTTCTACCAAAAAGACACATTCATTTGCACATTCATCGCAGGGTTATTCACAATAGCAGAGACATGGAATCGACCTAGGTTCCCATCAATGATGGACTGGATTTTAAAAATTGTATACACACCATGGAACATTATACAACCATAAGAAAGAACAAAATTATGTCCTTTGCAGCAACACAGATGGAGCTAGAGATGCAGCTGGAGGCCATTATCCTATGTGAATTAATGCAGGAACAGAAAAACAAACACTGCATGTTCTTACAAGTGGGAGCTAAACACTGGATACTCATGGATATACGGATAGCAACAATAGACACTGGGGACCACTATAAAGGGGAGGAAGAAGGGGGCATTGAAAAATTGACTATTGGGTACTCTGCTCAGTACCTGGATGACGGGATCATTCATACTCCAAACCTAAGCATCATGCAATACACTCAGGACATGTAACAAACCTACACATGTACCCCCCCCGCCGAGTCTAAAATAAAAGTTGAAAAAATTTAAAATATAAAAAAAAGACTAGTGTATGAAGAAAATCCATGTGAAGAGCAAGGTCCCAAGCTTGATTTACCTGACATGTCTCTTCAAGTGAAATACAAAATCCTGTTTCAGCTCATCTTCCCATTCATTCATCACTACCACAAACTCAAGCAAAGAATTGTTGAGAACCCAAAACAAACCACTCACCAGTTGCCATTCCAACTCCAGTGGCAACTCCAATGCCTGTAGAAGTCGTAGCCTCTGAGAAGAAATAGGAGAAAGTGGTATAGAATGCAGACATTTGGAAAAACGAGAAACAGTCTTACTTTATGTAATATCCCTGTGGGAGCCATCAGGTACCCAGAAGTTCACATAGGCAGGTTTCTTCAACTCTTTCATGACTCACTTGTGTTGGAACTCCCAGATACAATGGTTGTGCCAGTAGTTATCCCAGTGGTAACTGCAATCACAAGAGGAAAGAATCAATTTATGAATTCCTTTTCATCTAAAATTAGGATTTGGTTTAGAAAAAAATAATAGGTTTCTCAAGTGAACTAAAAGGTTTATATCAGGAACTTTTTTGCCTTAAGTGATATATTAGGCATGTTCTCATGATGTGATTGTATTGCAAATAAGCAGCAATTCACAAGGAGTAAACTATTTATATACCAGTAATTTGTACACAATGATTGAGGAAAACGTCCACTAAGTTCATTATAGCCAATTTGATTTAGTTTAAGATGAAAAGAAAAAAATAATTATTTGATTGCTAGTGCCCACCTATTTTACTTCCAGCCTCAGTGGTTCCACCATTGCCCAAAGAAGTTGTGGCTTCTAAGTGAAGGGAGAAAAGATGTAAATTCAGAAGAATCCTATAACTGAGAAAATCCCGTGGTATTCCCATGGTACGGTAGACAGTGTGTATGTTTCTGGGGAGGGATTCAGTCATATTCCATGACTAAAACCCCTCATTCCCTATTAGGTTACCTGTGTTGGAACTTCCAGATGCAACTGTTGTGCCAGAGACTATACCAGTGGTACCTAAAGCAGGGAGAGGGAAAGAGAGACCCCAAACTGTGATGCATTTACCATCCCAAGAAGAACATGGATGCCAATGACTGTCTATGACTTGAAAGCAGCAGAAAGCTTGTGCTATCCTGTCATCATGAAGTGTGTTCTCCATTTTTAAATTCAGAGTCACAGTAAACACATTAGTTTGTAGTCCAGCCTTGATTATTTGGCTCCTTAGAGTTTAATGTCAGAGGTTTCGGGGTATTTTTCACGCTTACCTATTTCACTTCCAGGGTTTGACCGCTCAGATGTGCCACTGGTAGCTTCTAGTGACAAGAAATGAAAACAATATTTGTGTAAAGGTATTCAACTGCATTCAATAAACTTATAACACCCAAATTCCAAAAAAATGACAGATCTAAACCTCTAGAGTAACTTCTATCACCTCTGCTGCCTTAAATAGAACAATACGGATTTATATTTCCTCCGTATGTACTGGGTAATAGCTTAAATGTTAAAAGGGGAATCTTTCTGGACTCTGAGCCTCTTTTTCTATAATTGTAGTATAAGGTTCGGCCCCAGGAGAAATGATATGATTTTTATAAATACAAGCTTTGTTTAACAAATATCTCTACGAAAAGGCAAAAGTCCAATGTAGATTTGTAGAAATTCAAGAGTTGCCAATTCTTTGGCCAGGCGCAGTGGCTCACACTTGTTATCCCAGCACATTGGGAGGCCAAGAAAGGCAGATCACTTGAGGCCAGGAGTTCAAGACCAGCCTGGCCAACATGGTGAAACCCCATATCTACTAAAAATACAAAAAAAAAAAAAAGATAGCTTGGTGTGGTGGTGCACACCTGTAATCCCAGCTACTTGAGTGGCTGAGGTAAGAGAATTGCTTGAACCCTGGAGGTGGAATTTGCAGTAGGCTGAGGTCACACCACTATCTCAAGAGTGAGACTATCTCAAGAAAAAAATAATATATACATTTGTCATTTTTTCTCATTTCTCATTTTTTCTCATGTATATTAATATGTGTGTGTGTATATATATTTATTTATATGTGTGTGTGTGTGTATATATATATATTTGCCAATTCCACTTTCATTGATTATGCTTCCTTCCATGGAAGTTATATCTTCTGAGAATAAAAAGGAAGAAAGTAGTGAGGGCTAACAGAAAATCATCAAAAGACATAATGTGCCATTGCTGCAGAGTTAGCACCCAACCAAAAAAAAAAACAAAAAAAAACCAACAGTATCTGTTTCCTCATTGACTCACCTGTGTTGAAACTGCTAGGTGAGATGGTGTTGCCAGAGACCACTGCAGTAGTACCTAAAAACAAAATGGAAGGGTACCACTATATCAATTGTTTTCTTTTTTTTTTTTTTAATTTTTATTTTTTTAAATTTTTTTATTATTATTATACTTTAAGTTGTAGGGTACATGTGCATAACATGCAGGTTTGTTACATATGTATACTTGTGCCATGTTGCTGTGCTGCACCCATCAACTCGTCATATACATCAGGTATAACTCCCAATGCAGTCCCTCCCCCCTCCCCCCTCCCCATGATAGGCCCCGGTGTGTGATGTTCCCCTTCCTGAGTCCAAGTGATCTCATTGTTCAGTTCCCACCTATGAGTGAGAACAGCCCATTCTATAATAGAATGAGGCAACGACAGAATTCTTTATTATGCAAGAAAAAAACATTTTCAGGGACAGCTTGTTCCAAAGTTATTTTGTATTTTGCAAATGTAATGCTCCATTCTCACTATAAACTTGGTGGGGGAAGGGTGCAATGTGAGGTGGTGGTGGAGTCTCAATGAGAACGTCTCTTTTTCTGGACTCAATGTCAGGAAAACAAAGGTACTTTACTTACCTAGTGGAATGCTAGTGACTTGGCTACCTGATACCCCTAGAAGAAGGAACAAAGCAGGACTGATTACCTGTTGAATTTTCATTTGGGTAAAATATTGGTATTGTAGAAATTGTAGTAGTCTAAAAGAGTTGAGATGTGACAAAAGAGTGCAGCCGTATAGTGTAGTGGTGATTTAGTATCATGGTTAAGAGGATGGATTTTGAAGCCAGAGTGCCTGAGTTGAAATCTGTTGTTTGCTCACTGTGTGATCTTCATTCAGTTAGTGAATATCTTTGAGCCATAGGTTTTTCTCATCTGGAAAGTCTGTGAGAACAATAGTGCTTACCTCACAATTTGGGATGAGGGATAAAAGAAATAATAATGAGAAAAACGTGGAGTAGTGCTTGGAACATAGTTCATGCTAGAAAGTGTTAACTACTATGGCTATTATTTTAAGTGAAAAGTGGACAGGTTAGGAAGCTCGTGTGCTCACCTGTATTCATTCCACTTCCTATGGTCTCAGTGCCTCTAAAGGACGTCATAGCTTCTTAGAGAGGAAAGGTAGGGAAATATGAAGTGAGAGGAATTAGCATGGTGAGGAAAGTGAAGGATGCACTGTTCTTGATAACAGTGCCACGGGAGGCACTTTACTAGTAAACCATTCTGTGGAGTCTCACCAGCTGGCTGGCTCACCCGTGTTTGAACTGCCAGGTTTAGATGTGTTGCCAGAAGCTACGCTGGTCTTTCTCTGTCACCCAGGCTGGAGTGCAATGGCACAATCTCTCACTGTAACCTCCGCCTCCCAGGTTCAAGTGATCCTCCTGCCTTAGCCTCCTGAGTAGCTGGGATTACAGGCTCATGCCACCACACCTGGCTAATTTTTGTATTTTTAGTAGAGAAGAGGTTTCACCAGGTTGGCCAGGCTGGTCTCAAACTACTGAGCTCAGGTGATCCACCCACCTCAGCCTCCCAAAGTGCTGGGACTACAGGTGTGAGCCATCGTGCCTGGCCTGTGTTTTCTCATGCATAGTTTTATTCTCAAATCAAAAAAAGATACAAATTCCTCAACAGAGGACTCCATTTGTCTAGAATTCAATGGAAGTAAGACAAGCGGCCCTCTTTCCTGCCATTTTTACCTATTGTGCTTCCAGTTCCTTGGTTTGCTGACCCTCTAGTGGTAGCTCTTAAAAGGATAAAAATAGAAAAACTTTGGAATATAAATTTAGACTAGAGTTATAGGGATAACTACGGTACATTTCAGTCATTATTGTGCTCAAGGAAAAATATATCATTCGAGGCAAATCTGTGTGCATTTTGGCCTTCTGTTGACCTGAAATGGAATCCTCTGAGCCAGTAATTCATTTTTCTGATATACCTAAAATGGAGATAACTAAAATGGAAAAAGAAAACTTTTCATACAATTATCACTTTCACTCTCATTTGCAGAGACTTATATATGTGAGGCTTGGCCCTGGAAATGGAAGGCAATTTGCCCAAGTTAATTCAAAATTAAGTAACAAAACGCTGATCTTAGATGAGAGTTCCTCAAAAGCTCCTCCTCGAAAAACTATCCTATTAAGAAGCAAAGTATAATTGTAATTTATTATCACTCAAAAGTCATACATGCATGCACAAACACACACCATTAATTCTCACCTGTCTTCCATCCCACTACAGTGGTTCTATGGACTCCTGTGGAAGTTGTGGCTTCTGGAAGAAAAAGAGAAGCAACGAGTAAAGGATGAGGACTTAGAAGGTTGGGGAAATATACTGTGATGCTCTTATAGAAGAAGAGCAATGTGAAAGACATTTTTGCCATCTTATTTCCAGAAAGGGAGCTTTCTTCTCAGCTTGTTAGCCTACCTGTACTGGAACTTCCAGGTGCAACAGCTGTGCTCAAGGCCACACCAGTAGTGCCTGAAATGAGAAGGTTATGGTGTTATAAAGAATCTTTTGCACGGAGGCAGTCTAGGTATAAACTAAATCTGTATTTCCAGGGCCATATCACTCATATTGTACACTGGCCAGCTCCAGGAGGCACCATTCACACAGCCTGCTTTGTCTATGTGGCAGTCCTTTGAGCATGTTCTTCCACTGGCCTTTTTGTTCCTGGATTGAATTATATATTTTTCCTACATTTTAATTATTTCATTCATTCAATAAATATTTATTGGGCCCTGTTTAGTACTAGGGATCATTGAACAGAGACTTTTTTCTCAAGAAGCCTACCTTTTAGTAGGCTTTCCAAGCATATATAATATAAAACCCTCAAATGTGAGACAAAAGAATTTCTTTAACATATTTGCCTGTTTTACTTCCAGTGACTTGATTGTCTGATGCATCAGAGGTGGTTCCTGATGACTAAAAGTAGGAAAAACGATTCTGAGTATGTTTTCACCTATAATCAATCACTGAGGCAACCCTTCAGCAACTTAATACTTAAATCTCAGGATGGAGAGCAAACCATTTCTGAGTTCATTTTAGTCATCTGTTCACCTGAGACAGACCTTCTGGGCCAGTCTTGACTCCTGCTGATTCTGCAGTAATATCTATAATATCCACTGGGTTAATTGTCCAGGGAATTACTGCTCCTGCTACCCTCTCCAGAAATCTATGTCCTAAGGCCAGGCATTGGAAAAGGCTGGTTCAGAAGTCAGCTCAGGGGTGTGGATGGGAGGACCTGCCCTCCCTATACGATAATCTTTCAGATCCAGAGGCAAACTCATGATACTACTTAATGGCCATGCTAACCTTTGAGACCCCTAGTTCTCAGTGATTTCACAACAGTGACTCTGATGGCTTCTAAGGAAGCTTTGGCCTCTGCAAGAGGAAATGAAGCAGAAAGGATGTTTGGGGTTACATATTCCTCCTTGAAATTAAACAAGTGATGACTGCCATTGAAAATATTCACTTACCTATAACAGAACTTCCAGGTGCAACAGTTGTGTGAGAGATGATGCCACTGGAATCTGGAATCACTAAGAGAAGGAAACTTACATCATTTCCTTTACATTAACAGAAGGGCTAAGAAGAAAAACATTATATGTTTTTTGTTAACTCAGAGGGCGTATTCCATTATTCCTCATACACCTTTCAACAAGGATACTTCATTCCCAAAAAAAAAAAAAAAAAAGCCAAGGCTAAGGACTCACATTAGAAGTATCCTTATTATCTGAATACTGGTAAATATCAGGAAGATATTTATACTTTCCCATGCTTACCTGTTTGACTGCTGGAGAGTTGGCTCCGCAGTGCAGTGGTCATGGATCCTGTAAAAGAGAAAAGAGAGAGAATATTCTGCTATCCATTAATGTAAAAATTTTGGTAAAACACTAATATTCTGAAATTTGGGGGTTTGGACAAAGGTTTCCATAGGAAATCACTCTGTATTTATTTCAATCAATTTGAATTGTTAGAACTATTTTACAAACTTCCCATTTTCACCTGAGACTGTTACTGCTTCAGTGATTCTAGAGAAAGTTGTAGCCTCTGAGAAAAAGGGAAAAAGAATAGCAGTGAGGTCAAAGATTTGAAGAATCTGAGAACTCATGGTAGGATCACCCAGGCAGAGACACCTCATTGAGGAGCCCTTCCCAAGCAGTGGTTCCTCCCAGTCTGATGCTTTACCTGAGTTGGAGCTCCCAGGGGTGACTGTTGTCCCAGAGGGCACTCCAGCTGTGCCTAGGAAGGAAAGAAAAAAAAAAGATCAACAGATTGACACATTTGTAACCCTTAGAAGAATGTGGCCAGCATCATGTCTACCTGGACCTTGGAGCAGCAAAAGATGCTTCCTGGACCTATAACTGACAGGAGGTGGTATTTTCTATGTTTACTGTGTGCCTTTGTAAGGCCAAGGTTAATGCAGTGGCTAATGTGCCTGCTCTGATTATTTTTGCCAAGATTGAAGGTCATATCAAAGACGTTCTCCAAGTTTACCTGTCTTACTTCCTGGTGCTCTGGTGGTGGCTCCTAATGAAAAGGAAAAGAGAGAGGAAGAAGGAGGAGGAGGAGGAAGAGGAAGAAAAGGAAGTAAAGAAAGAAGAAAGGAAAGTTTGAATTTTTACCCCTGAACTAAAATGTGACATCTTAATGATTACTCTGCTGAATACAAGTCAGTACTGTAATGATACACACACTGAGTTATTTTCAAAGGAAAAACCCTTTCAGAGCCAGAGCTACTGTAACTCTCCTCTCTAGAGGCCTCGAACCCTGAGGCTAGTCCTAGAGAAGAAAAAGCCTTTCGGAAATTTGGGCCCAAGTTGTTCCAAATCTGAAAGGAAATCCTGGTTGCTTTGAAATAGCTTCAAAAGGAAAGGAAAAACTTTATTCCACATTAAAGAGATTATTTGCATAATCTATTCAACCCTTCTATAATTTACAATTATTCCAAAATAAAAAGTTCATTGAAAAAAATGTTTCCCCTAACAAATTTATCAAAATACAACAGTAAATAATGAAACCCCCATAATCTTCACCTGATTTTATTTCTGCTCCAGTGGTGCTACTTCCTCCTAGGAAAATTGTGGTCTCTTAAAGATGGAAAGAAAACTAAAATTAATTGAGTGCTAAGAAAAAGGGATGAGCTAAGCTGATATCATTACATGAGAGAAGCCCAGTTCAAAATGTCTTGCCACCTACTAAGTTAGAAAAGAAAGTTTCCTGACTGTAAAGGTGATGTAAACCTTCAATTCACAGGGGTATTTTTTTTAAAATGGGGAATGAAAGAATTTTAACTCATATGGTTCTTAGACTTTAGGTAGTTCCCTAATTGGAATAAGATATGTAACTCTTTAATAAAATGGTTATAGAAAGGAACTCCATCAATGATAGATATCCTCACTACTATATCATCATTTTCATGATTTAAGTATCAGAATTTTTCTTTTTTTAAAATTATACTTTAAGTTCTAGGGTACATGTGCACAACATGCAGGTTGTTACCATATGTATCAGCATGGCCATGTTGGTTGTGCCTGCACCCATTAACTTGTCATTTACATTAGGTATATCACCTAAATGCTATCCTCCCCCCCACCCCACCCCATACAGGGGCCCTGGCTGTGTGGATGTTCCCCTCCCTGTGGGTCAAGTGTTCTCGCTGTTCAATTCCCCACCTATGGAGTGAGAACATGTGGTGTTTGTTTTTTTTTTTGTCCTTGCAATAGTTTGCTGAGAATGATGGGTTCCAGCTGCATCCATGTCCCTTACAAAGGACATGAACTCATCCTTTTTATGACTGCATAGAGATTCCACGGTGGTATATGTGCCCCAAATTTTCTTAATCGAGTCTATCATTGATGGAACATCTGGGCTTGGTTTTCCAAGTCTTTGCTATTGTGAAAGTAGTGGTACAATAAACATACATGTGCATGTGTCTTTACAAGCAGCATGATTTATAATACTTTGGGTATATCCCCAGAATGGAATGGCGGGTCAAATCGTATTTCTAGTTCTAGATCCTTGAGGAATTGCCACACTGTCTTCCACAATAGTTGAACTAGTTACAGTCCCACCACAGTGGTAAAAGTGTTCCTATTTCTCCACAACCTCTCCAGCACCTGTGTTTCCTGATCTGTTTTAATGATTGCTATTCTACTGGGTGTGCAGATGGTATCTCATTGGGTTTTGTGATCTTGCATTTCTCTATGGCGGAGTGATGATGAACATTTTTCATGTGTCTGTTGGGGTTTTGTATAAATGTCGTTCTTTTGAGAAGTGGTCGTTCATATCCTTTTTGCAACTCTCCTTATGGTTTTGTTTGTTGTTTTTTTCTTGTAATGTTGAGTTCCTTTGTAGGACTTTCTGGATAATTAGCCCTTTGCGCAGAGAAGTAGACCTGAAAAAATTTTTCCCATTCTGGTAGCTGCCTGTTCACCTCTGATGTCAGTCTTTTGCTGGTTGCAGAAGTTCCTTTAGTTAATTAGATCCCATTGTCAATTTTGGCTTTTGTTGCTCATTGCTTTTGGTGTTAAACCATGAAGTCCTTGGCCATGCCTATGTCCTGAATGGTATTACCTAGGTTTTCTTCTAGGGTTTTTATGGTTTTAGATCTAACATTTAAGTCTTTACTCCATCTGGAATTATTTTTTGTCTAAGGTATAAGGAAGGGATCCAGTTTCAGCTTTCTATATATGGTTAGCCAGTTTTCCCAGCACCATTTATTAAATAGGGAATTCTTTCCCCATTTCTTGTTTTCATCAGGTCTGTCAAAGATCAGATGGTTGTTGATGTGTGATATTATTTCTGAGGGCTCTGTTCTGTTCCATTGGTCTATATCTCTGTTTTGGTACCAGTACCATGTGCAAGAATTTTGCCAGAGGGAGTGGGGACAATCTCAGGGCTGGCCACAAATTGCCTTTGTTTGGATGTCCTCTCTTCAAAAAAAAAAAAAAAAAAATTGCCAGCACCTACCACATTGGAACTTGGAATTAGAAAGTGACAGGATTCATTATCTTTATTCTTTGCCCAAAATAAGAAAGAAAATGGCTGAGGATGAAGGTGAGGAAACTGTGTTTTCTCAATGTGCCAACAAGCTCCTTTTTAGATGTTTCTAGACCCAGGAGTTGAATCTGTATATGTCTTCCATGCACCATTTCTATCTCAGAAAACTTAATGACAAAAATTTCATTATCTCAATTACTTCCTTTAGATATCAATGAGAGAAAGAAAGACATTTCTCTCCAATCACCCAACTGATTCTCTGTGCCTCAGCTCCATGGTGAAGTCTCCCTGAAGCAGAGGAAAGGACGATGAAGGAGCCTGAGTGTCACATTTGGTAATTAGGTAAAATCCTGCCAATATGATAATGCTTGTTCTGAAAATACTCTTCACAGGAAGTACAAACATTAGATGTGATTCAGGCAACGTGGTCTACTGAGAAGCAGGTTGTGCTTCATCAGGGCTCACCTGCAGTGGGTCCAGTGCCAGTCACTCTGCTTGCTCCAGGAGAAGTTGTAGCTGCTGAGAGAGTGAAAAAAGTATGGAAAACATTCTGGGATTTAGAAAGGGAATGGTCCGCTTTTGCACAGAGGCAGCAAAAGGAAAGACACATTATAGTAGAAAGCATCCAAGAAATGGCTCTGTGCCAAATTGTGTACTTACCTGTGCTGAAACTTCCAGGAGCAACTGTTGTGCCAGGTGCCACCCCAGAGGTGCCTGAAACACAAAGGGATTGAGGTGACCATGATGAGTGAGTAAGTCAAATGAACACCCGAATCTAAAAGGTATATACTATATTTATTTTCTATACGAGAAGTCATTTTCCCTGAGGATATGGCAGTTAGTGAACTAGATGCATTTGCTGGTTGTCAGTGCTTCACAACTAAAGCAGATAGACAGTGTCCTCAGCTTCAGGCACTTTTGGAGTTTGATAAAAGGGAAACTAGATGGATTTCCCCAATGCTTACCTGCTTGCTTTCCTGGTGCTGCAGTGATGCCTGCTGTGAGATAGAAAAGAGGGGGGAAATGTTTTAAATGTGCTGAAACCATCAGATGTAGGAGAAGATAAAAAGCAAGAAAATATGTAAGCATGCACACACATATAAACACATGCATCCTGGGTCCATGAGGCTCTTTTGTATTTCACACACTTTCATGGAAAACTTTCTGAATTCCACCTCTAGTGCTAGTGACAGTTGTAACATGAATGGAGAAATTCCATTCCATCCTTAGACATAAAGTTGTCAGTCTCCATTCTAGAATTATTATAATTCAAAAAAAAATTGTATCTCCACCAGCAAAACTATCTTGAATCACTTCCAGCATCCCTAAATAAAACACAGACTCTCTCATGCAAACCTTAAGAGACCTAACACTTATGATGCCAAATCAGCGGCTGTTTCTTCTCACCGGTTTTGAATCCAGTTCCAGAAGTACCAGTCTCTTCAATGGAAGTTGTGGCCTCTGAGGGAAGAAAGAGAGCGGTAAAGTCTATGAATGTGGAATACTGGGAGAGGATACTCCGGTGAGATTTTATCATAGCAGCCCTAAAATACATAGAATGACATTTGACATTAAGTACGACACATTTCCTTCTTGTTAGACTACCTGTGTTAGAACTTCCAGATATAATGGTCATTCTAGAAGATTCTCCCGTGATACCTGAAATGGAAAAAGAAAATAGAAATGGAATAATAGAGCATTGTCTCCCAAATTAAGCTTGGAAGGATCAACATGGCAACCCTAAAGCACTGAGGCCCTTTCCTGAGAACATTCTATTTCTATAATGAATGGAAAATGAACAACTTCCTAGCACTTCATTTTCCAGGCCAACCAGAGATGAATGTATTGCTACTGGGTTTCTCTTTCACTATGTCACAAGGGTAGAATAGAGTTTAAATCACCCTAATCTGTTTGCCTTCTAGGAGCATATCCCCCTTGTATGACAGAGGTGCCTACAGAGGAAACAAAGCATAATTTTATCTTTATAAGTAGAACTCTTTGATACAACTTGGGGCGTTTTATAATCAGTTGTCTTCATGAAGCTTTCTGGTGAGGGGAGAGAGGAAACAAACATCTTGTAAAAGTAAATGAGAAAAATGACAGAAAGTGTCAAGCTGCAGGTGGAAAAGTACACTGGGAAAACAAGGACTGGAAGTTCTGGAAGGTTGGAATACATGCAATAGACTCTCAAGCTTCCTATCAGAAAAAAATGTCTCCATAAGCCAGGATACTGGAGATAGCCTGGCTGATCCCTTTGGGGTCATGGAATCACAAGCAAAATCACGGGCCAGGTAGATATGACATAATATGGCCCCAGAGAAAATCCCCCTCCCTCAAAAACCTTCATGTTATTGTTCACTGCAGCCACCCAAATAGAGAGATGAGAGCAGGCCTCAGCCTGACAAGCTCACCTGGTGGGCCTGCTCGGGTGGTCCGGTTGCCTCCTGAGAAAGTTGTGACCTCTGAGAGAGAAAGGAATTGGAGGTATCATGACTACACATGACATTCTGTGGCTCTCAGAGACTAGACTGCTCAGCAGGTCGTGATTAGAATTCCTGACCTGTTTGGGCACTTCCAGTTTCCAGAGTTTTGCCAGAGATGCCCTCAGTAGTACCTGAAATAAGAAAATATTATGTGGTCAGTTGGTCAATTTGTCCTCCTTAATGATATGAGAATAAGCTATTAAAGGAAAAAGAAAATACTTATTTGCATCAATATACTAAAAATTTATTTTTCTGGATTTTGTATTTTAGGAGTTAATCCATTTACTGCCCATGGAACATACAGTTTCCTCAGCAAGTTTACAAACATCACAACTGAGGCCCCTTTTTAAGGTTTAGACACAAGAAGATAGATTTGGACTCAAGTCACCTCTATAACTATAAGGGAATGGGTCCCATGATGCCCTGATCAAGTGCCTTTAGGCCCAAGGCAGATATAAGGAGGGAAAGTTGAAATTTATGAACCATATTTAATGATGTTAAATATTGAATACCTGCTGAATTTGTGTCTAATATGCCAGATACGGGAATCAATGAGTTCTGCTATATTTCTAGCAACACATGGGAAACTTACAAATTACACTTAGTTCCTTAGGAGAGCTCACCTGTGACTATTTCAGCACTTGTTATTCCACTTTCTCCTACAGAGGTTGTGGTCTCTGAAAAAGACGAAAAAAGAATAGCAGTGAGGGCAAAGATTAGAAGAACCTGAGAAAAGTATGGTAGAATTGCCCAGGCAGACACCCCACTGAGGAGCCCTTTCCAAGCAGTGGTTCCTCCCAGCCTGGTGCTTTACCTGAGTTGGAGCTCCCAGGGGCAGCTGTTGTAGCAGAGGGCACTCCAGCTGTGCCTAGGGAGGAAAAAAGAGAAAGATGGGCACTCTTTTGTAATGCTTAGAAGAATGTGGTAAGCAACATGCCTGTCTTTGACTTTGGAGAGGAAAAGACACTTCCTGGACCTATAACTGACAGGAGGACAGACATGTTTTGTGTTTTCTGTGTGCCTTTGCAAGGCCAAGGGTACTATGACTGCCCTGATGACTTATTTTTGCCAATGTTGAAGGTCATATAAAAGGCATTTGTGAAATCTACCTGTCTTACTTCCTGGTGCTCCAGTGGTGGCTCCTAACGAAAAGAAAAAAGAGAAGAAGGATGAGAAGGAAAGAAAGAGAAAGGAGAAAAAAAGAAAATTTTGAATTTTTATCTCTGAAGTGAAGTATGACAACCTAATGGTTTCTATGCTGAATACAAGTCAATACTATGATGATAAACAGACTATGCTCTTCTCAAAGGGAAATAATTGCAGAGCTGAAGCTTCTGCAACTGTCCTCTCCAGAGGCCTAGAACCCTGAAGTTAGTCTCTAAGAAGGGAAAGCCTTCAGGAAATTTGGGCCCACATGTTTACAAATCCAGATCTAAGAAGAAATTCTGTTTCCCCTGAAATATTACAGCCTTAAAAGAAATTTAGAACTGCACTCCACATTAAAGTTATTCTTTGCATCATCAATGCAAATTTTCTGTAACTTAAAAACTCATTGTTAAAAAATGTTTCCTCTAAGAAATCTATCAAAATACAACAATAAATAATGAATACTACAACATATTTACCTGATTTTATTTCAGTTCTAGTGGAGCCAATTCCACCTAGGGAAGCTGTAGTCTCTTAAAGATGGAAAGAAAACCAAAATTAATTGAGTATTAAGGAAGAGGGATGAGCTAAGTGGATGTCAAGACATGCAATAAGCCTAAATCAAAATGTCTTGTCACCTACTATTAAGTCACAAGAGAAATCTTTCTGACTGTAAACGTGATGGAAACCTTCAATATCCAAGTATAATTGTTAAATGGTGAGGTAAAACATTTTCAAATCATATTGTTCTTAATTGAAATGTAAGTGTTTCTTAATTGGAATAAGTTATTTAAACTTAATTTCAAAAGGTATACGGTCAGAACTCATAAATGATTGATATGCTTATTACTATTATCATCACTATTTATTGCTTTAAATATTAGATTTTTCACATGCAAGAAGTTTGCCAATGGCTGCCACATTGAAAGTTGTAATTAGAAAGTGATAGGAATCAAAATCTGAATTCTTTACCCGTAATAAGAATGAACATGTCATATCATGAAGGTGTGGGAACTATGTGTTTTCTCAAAGTGCCAAGAAGCTGTTTTCAGTGGTTTCTAGAACCAAGATTTAACCTACATATGTTTTCCATGCACCATTTCTGTCTCACAGAAAATTTAATGACAAAACTTTCCATAACTCAATTATTTCCTCTAGATATCAATGAGAGAAATAAAAACATGTCTCTCCAATCACAAAACTGATTCTCAGTGCCTTAGCTTCATGGTGAAGTCTCCTTGGAACAGAAGAAAGAAAAATAAAGGAATTTGAGTGTCGGGCCTTTAGTCATTTAGGTAATATCCTGACTATCTGGTAATCCATGTTCAGAAAAGACTCTTTACACGAAGTACAAATACTGCATGTGATTGAGGCAATGTCTACTGAGAAGGAGGTAGTGGATTGTCCGTGCTTACTCGAAGTGGTTCTAACCCCAGTCATTCCACTTGCTCCAGGAGAAGTTCTGGCTGCTGGCAGAGGAAGGACATGAATAGAAAAGATTCAGGGGGCATGGAATGGAATGGAATGGTGACATTATGGCAAGCACCCATGAAGGGATTCCCCATCACACAGTGGACTCACCTGTGCTGAAACTTCCAGGGGCAACTGTTGTGCCAGGCGCCACCACAGAGGTGCCTGAAACACAAAGGGATTGAGGGGAACCATAGTGATTCAGTAAGTTCAGTAAGTTCTAGGAAGGCCCAAATCTTAAAGGGATATGCTGTATTTATGTATTTATTTATTTCCTACAACATACATCTCTCTCTGAGCATGAGACTGATTTTTGCCTGCTTTCAAAAATTCATAACCAAAGCACATAGAAAATGTTTCCAACTTTAAGCACAACTACAAAGTTGATAAAAGGGAAACTAGATGCATTTTCTCGATGCTCACCTGCTTGCCTCCCTGGGACCGAAGTGATGCCTACTGTGAGGTACGTAAGAAGAAAGAAAAAAGATTTAAATGTGTTGAAACTTCAGATGTTGGAGAACATTTTGGGAAAGCCAATTGTAAGATACATACACACATATGCATGCATGCACCCTGGTTCCATGGGGCTCTTTCCTACCTCACACACATTCACACATGTACACACAGAAAACTATCTGGCTTCCAGCTCAAATGCTGGTGGTAATAGTAACACAACGGGAAAACCCTTCCCATCCTCAGCCTCAATAGAGGGAGACTCAATTTTACAATAAGTAGCCTTTCAAAAAGGATTTCTCCCTAGTAACAAACCTATATTGAATCACTTGCAGTGCCTATAAAAACCACAAACACCCTCAAGGAAAGTTAAAAGACCTAATCTAGATGACCCCAAATTATGCGCTTTTTAGTCTCACCAGTTTTGAATACAGTTCTGGAAGGACCAGTCTCTTCAATGGAAGTTGTGGGCTCTGAGGAAAGAAATAGAGTAGGGAAGTCTGTGAATTTGGAATACTGAGAGGAGATACTGGGGCGTTATTTTATCACAGCAACCCTAAAAGAGATATCATTACATCTGACATTAAATATGAGGCACTTTATTCTTGTTAAGCTATGTGTGTTAGAACTCCCAGATATAATGGTTGTTCCAAAAGATTCTCCTAAAAAGAAAAAGGGGTAAATGTAGCAATATTTTCTCCCCATTTATGCTTGGAAGCATCAATGTGGCCCTAAAGCACTGGAAGCCCTTTCCTGAGGATACTCTGTCTCTATAGTGAATGGAAAATGAACAACTTCTAGCACTTCATTTTCCTTGGCCAAACTGAGATGGATGTGTTGCTGCTGGGTTTCCCTTTTACTATAAGGCAAAGGTAGACTAGGGTTTAAATCACCCTGACCTGTTTCCCTTCCAGGGACATATCCTTCTGATGTGTCAGAAGTGCCTACAGGAGAAATACAGCATGGTTTTAACCTTAAGCAGGACTCTTTGATACAGCTAGGGGCATTTAAATAATCGTTGACTTCACAAAGTTTTCTCATGAGGGGAGAGAGAAAATCAACATCATGTATAGCTAAATGAGAAAAAGGATAGAAAGTGTCCAGCTGTGGGTGGAAAGGTAAATTGGGTGAAGGACAGCTGGACATTCTGGAAGGAAGGGATAAGTATAATAGACTCCCAAGCCTCATCATATCAGAAAAAAATGTCTCCATAAGTCAAGATACTGAAGACAGCCTGGCTGAGCCATCTGAGATCATGGAATCACAAGCAGAATAACTGACCACATATAGGACACAATAGGGCCCCAGAGAAAATCCCCCTCCCTCAAAAGCCTTCACATTATTTGTTCCCTGTATCCACCCAGAGAGAGAGATGATGAGAGCCTCAGGCCTCAGCCTAACAAGCTCACCTCCTGATGGTCCTGCTCGGGTGGTTCCGCTGCCTCCTGAGAAAGTTGTGGCCTCTGAGAAAGAAGGAATTGGATGTATGAAGACTGCACAGGACATTCTGGGGCCCCATAAGCTGTATTGCCCAGGGTGCCATGTTCAGAATTCCTGACCTGTGTGGGTACTTCCAGCTGCCAGAGTTTTGCCCTCAGTAGTACCTGAAATAAGAGAGGATTGTGATTAGTTGGTCAATCTGTTGTCATTAATGAAACGGCTATAGACTACTATAGAAAAAAACATTTTTTATTAAACACACCAGAAAATTTATTTCTCTAGAGTTTTTGTCTTGTTTTGTTTTGTTTTGTTTTTAAGAGTTAATCCATATACTGCCCATGGAACATATAGTTCCTTTGGAAAGTTTATAGAGAAAGTCCTCTACCACGGAGTTCCTTATTTAGGGTATTGTTACAGATAGAGAGATTTGGGCCCACATCACCTCTATAACTGTCAGGGAATGGGCTCCATGATGCCCTGATGAAGGGTCCTTAGACCCACAGCACAAGACATAAGGAGGAAATGTTGATGTGTCTGAACTATATTTATTGATGTTAAATATTGATCATCTGCTAAATGTTTTTCTAATATGCCAAATATGGGAAATTCAGATTTTGCCATATTCTAGCAAGACATGGAAAATCATAGCAATGTATACTTAGTTCCTTAACTGAGCTTACCTGTGGTTATTTCAGCTCTTGTTTTTCCACTTTCTCTTAAAGCAGTCATGGCCTCTGCAAAAGAGGGAAAAAGAATAGCAGTGAGGGCAAAGATTTGAAGAACCTGAGAAAAGCATGGTAGGATCACCCAGGCAGACACCTCACTGGGGAGCCCTTTCCAAGTACTGGTTCCTCCCAGTCTGGTGCTTTACCTGAGTTAGAGCTTCCAGGGGCAACTGTTGTCACAGAGGGCACTCCAGCTGTGCCTAAATAGGAAAGAAAAGAGAAAGATCAACATAGAGACCCTTTTATGACCCTTGAAAGAATGCGGCTGACAGCATGTCCATCTGTGACTTCAGAGCAGGAAAAGATGCTTCCTGGTCCTAAAACTGACAGGAGAGGCATTTTTCATGTGTATTGTGTTCCTTGGCAAGGCCGAGGTTAACACAATGGCTAATATGCATGTCCTTTTTTTTTTTTTTTTTTTTTTTTGCCAATGTTGAAGGTCATTTGAAAGGCTTTCCCAAGTTTACCTGTCTTACTTCCTGGTGCTCCGGAGGTGGCTCCTAATGAAAAGAAAAAGAGAAGGAGAAGAAGGAGGAGGAAAGAAAGAGAAATAAGGAAGAGAAAATATTTTTGAATTTTTATCTCCAAACTAAAATATGGGCATCTTAATGATTTCTACACTGATTTGAAGCTAGTACACTAATGTTATATAGACTATGCTCTTTTCAAAGGGAAAACCATTTCAGAGCCAGAGCTGTTATTGTAACCCTCCTCTGCAGAGTCCTAGACCCCTGAGGTTAGTATCTGAAAAAGAAAAAGCCTTTAGGAAATTTGGGCCCACATATTTACAAATCCAAATCCAAGAAGAATCTCTGTTCCCCTTAAAATATTACAGCTTTAAAGGAAATTTAAAACCACTTCCACATTAAGGTGATTTTTGCATTATCAATGCAAATTTTCTGTAACTTAAAATTATTTCAAAATTAAAAGATCATTAAAAATGTTTTTCTCTACAAAATCTATCAAAATACAACAATAAATATAAATACCCTAAAGTCTACCTGATTTTATTTCTGCTCCAGTGGTGCCACCTCCTCCTAGGGAAGTTGTGGTTTCTTAAAGATGAAAAGAAAACTAAAATTAATTCAGTATTAAGGAAGAAGGATGAGCAAGTGGATGTCACTACATGAGATAAGCCCAATTCAAAATGTCTTGTCACCTACTATTAAGTCAGAAAAGAAGACCTACTGACTGTAAAAGTGATGGAAACCTTTAATACACACATTTAATTGTTAAAATGGGGAGATAAAACATTTTAACTCACATGGTTCTTAGTTGGACCTTAGTTATTTCTTAATTGGAATAAGATATGTAAAATTCTTAAGAAAAAAGCATATATAGTAAGGAATGCATAAATGATAGATATGCTCACTATTATCATCATTATTTATTGCTTTAAATATTATACTTTTCATGTGCAAGAATTTTGCCAGTGGCTACCAAAAATGAACTTGGTATTAGAGAACAATGGGAATCAATATCTCAATCTTTACCCATAATGAGAAAAAAATGACCTACGATGGGGTAAGGGAGCCATGTTTTCTCAGCATGTCAACAAGCTCTTTTCAGAGGTTCTAGAATCAAGAGTTAATTTATATATGTTCTTCACACAATTTACATCTCATGGAATATTTAATGACAACCATTCCAAAAACTTAATTACTTCCTTTAGATATCAATGAGAGTAAGATATTTCTTTCTAATCACTCAACTGATTCTCAGTGCCTTAGCTCCATGCTGAAGTCACTTTGAGGCAGAGGAAAGGAAGATAAAAGAGTCTGAGGATCTGACATTTGGTTATTATGTAAAATCCTGCCTATCCAGTAATCTGTGTTCAGAAAATGCTCTTCACAGGAGGTACAAACAGTAGATGTCATTCAGATAACCTTCTCTACTGGGAAGCAGTTAGTAGTTCATCAGTGGTTACCTTCAGCAGGTCCAGCCCCAGTGGTTCTACTTGCTCCAGGAGAAATTGTGGCTACTGAGAGAGGAGGGACATAAATGAAAAAGATTCAGGGGCCTAGGGATGGAATGGTGGTGCTTCTGCATATAAGCACCAAAGGAAAGACATTATTGTAGCAAGCACTCAAGAAACGATTCCTGTGGAATCAGTAAAGAAACTGTGGACTCACCTGTGCTGAAACTTCCAGGGGCAACTGTTGTGCCAGGTGCCACCGCAGAGGTATCTGAAAACACATTATATCTCTTTTAGAGTCAGGTCTTCATTTGACTTACTGACCATTATGACTCAGTAAGTCAAGTGAAGACCTGACTCTGAAAGGGATATAATGTATTTATTTGCCATAACTGAAATCTCTCTTTTTTAGGTTATGGCAGAGGGTGAACTAAGTGTATTTGCTTGCATTTGACAATTCATAACCAAAGCAAATAGAGAAATACTGTTTGCAACTTCAGGTGCTTCTCCTGAAAATTTAATAAAAGGGAAACTAGATGCATTTCCCTAAGGCTGACAAACTTGCTCCCCTGGCACTGCAGTGATGCCTGCTATGAGATAGAAAGTAGGGGAAATAAGTTTTAAATGTGCTGCAAACTAGATGTAGGACAAAATATTGGCAAAGCAAAGTTTTATCCATATACAGATACACACATATGCATGCATGCATCCTGGTTCCATGGGCTTTTTTTCTATTTCACACACACACTCTCACACACACACACGGAAAACATTCTGAATTCCAGCGCCAATTCTGGTGATAGGTGTAATACTGCTGGAGACATCTCAACCCATTCTCAGACCTGAAGCAGTGAGGCTCAATTCTAGAATGAGATTTCCAAAAAAAAGTTATCTCTATATCAAATTCATTTTTAATTACTTGCAATGTACCTAAATAAAATATAAACACTCTTAGGAGAAGCTTGATTCCTAATCTTGATGACCCTAAATCACGGACTGTTGATTCTTACCAGTTTTGAAGCCAGTTCCAGAAGTACCAGTCCCTTTTGTGGAAGTTGTGGCCTCTAAGGGGAAAAAAAAAAAGTAGGAGAATAGTGACATCCGGGAATTTGGAATACCACAGAGGATATTGGGGTATTCTTTTATAATAGCAGCCCTAAAAGAGATATCATGACATCTGGCATGAAATAAGAAGCATTCCCTTCTTGTTAAGCTACCTGTGTTAGAACTTCCAGATATAATGGTCGTTCCAGACAATTCTCCAGAGGTACCTAAAATGCCAAAAAAGGGAAATGGAGTAATAGATCATTATCTCCCCAGGTTAGCTTGGAAGCATCCGTGTGTGGCCCTAAAGTACTGGAAGCCCTTTCCTGAGGACACTGTATCCCTACAGAGAATGGAAAATGAGCAATCTCCAAGCACTTGATTTTCCAGGCCAACCTGGGCTGTGTGTGTTGCTACTGGGTTTCCCTTTCTCTATGAGGCAAGGGAAGAATAGGGCTTAAATCACCCTGACCTGTTTCCCTTCCAGGAACATATCCCCCTGGCGTAACAGAGGTGCCTACAGGAGAAACAAAGCACAATTCTATACTTATAAGCAGGACTCTTTGATACAACTTGGAGCATTTTAATAATCAGTTGTTTTCATGAAGTTTTATAGGAGGGGAGAGAGGAAACAAATATCATGTGTAAGTAAAAGAGAAAAATGATAGAAAGTGTCTCAAACCGTGGGTGGAAAGGAAAACTGGGTAAGGAGAGTTGAAAGTCCTGGAAAGTTGGAATATATGCAATATACTCTCAAACAATCAGAAAAAATTATTTCCATAAGCCAGGACATCGAAGACAGCCTGACTGAGACACCTGAGGTCATGAATTCACAAGCAGAATAACTGACCAGGTTGATATGACAAACTATGGCCACAGAGAAAATGGAGGACCCTCCCTCAAAAGACTTTCACTGCATTACTATTCATTACTGTTCACTGCAGCCACCCAGATCAAGAGCTGATGAGAGCCCCAGGCCTCAGCTTGACAAGCTCACCTCCTGGTGGTCCTGCTCGGGTGGTCCCGCTGCCTCCTGGGAAAGTTGTGGCCTCTGAGAGAGAAAGGAATTGGAAGTATAAAGATTGGACAGGACATTCTGGGTTTCCCAAAGCTGATATTGCCTAAGGGGCCATATTCAGAATTCCTGACCTGTGTGAGCACTTCCAGGTTCCAGAACTTTGCCAGAGGTGCCCTCAGTAGTACCTGAAATAAGAAAGGTGGTCAGCTGATCAATCTGTTGCTTCTCATGAAATGGGCATGGGATCTTAAAGGAAAGATAATAACTTTGTTTCTTCAATATACCAGTACATTTATTTCTCTGGGCTTTCTAGTTTTAAGAGTTTATCCATATATTGCTCGTGGAACATATAATTCCCTCAACGAGTTTACACTGAAAGTCCTCCACCACTGAGATCCTTTTTTAGGATTTAGTTACAGGGAGATAGATTCAGGCCAAGTCACCTCTATAACTGCAAGGGAATGGGCCCCATGCTAGCCTGATGAAGAGGCCTTTGACACAGGGAACAAGACACAAGGAGGGAACATTGAAGTGTTGGAACCCTATCTATTGATGTTAAATATTGAACATCTGCTAAATATTTGTAATATGCCAAATGTTGAAAAGCCAAAGAATTTTGCTGTATTTCAAGTGAGACATGGGAAGTTATTACAAAGTACACTTAGTTCCTTAACGGAGCTCACCTGTGATTATTTCCCCACTTGTTTTTCCATTTTCTCCTATAGAAGTTGTAGCTTCTGCAAATGAGAGAAGAGGAATAACAATGAGGACAAAGATTTGAAGAATCTGAGAAGAGTATGGTAGGATCACCCAGGCAGACAACTCACTGAGGAGCCCTTCCAAAGCAGTGGTTCCTCCTAGCCTGGTGCTTTACCTGAGTTGGAGCTCCCAGGGGCAACTGTTGTACCAGAGGAACCTGCAGCTGTGCCTAGGTGGGAAAAAAGAAAAAGATCAACACGGGAACAATTTTGTGATCCCTGGAAGAATGTCAGTAACAAGTCTATCTGTGACTTTGAAACAGCAAAAGATACTTTCTGAACCTATAACTGACAGAAATATAGACGTGTTTCATGTCTACCATTTGCCTTTGTGAAGCCAAGTTTAACACCATGGCCAATATACCTGCCAATCTTTGCCAAGATTAAAGGTCATATCAAAGGCTTTTTCCATATTTACCTGTTTTACTTCCTGGTGCTCCAGTAGTGGCTCCTAACGAAAAGAAAAAGAAGGGAGAAGAGAAGGAGGAGGAAGAAGATAAGAGGAGTAGGAAGAGGAGAAGGAAGAGAAAGAAGAGAAGGACGAGGCAGAGGAGGAAAAAAAGAAGCCGGGGGAGAAGAAGCAAGAGGAGGAAGCAGAAGAGAGGAAGAGAAAGACGAGAAGGAAGAGGAGAAAAAGGATGAAGAAGAGAGAGAAAAAGAAGAAGAAAGAGGATTAGGTAGAGAAGGAGGAGAAGAAAGGAACAGGAGAAAAGGAAGACAGGGGAACAGGAAGACAAGAAAAAGGAGGAGGAGGCAGAGAAGGAAGAAGAAGAAAGATTTAGAATTTTTTCTTTGAACTAAAATGTGACATCTTAATGATTTCTCTGCTGAATAAAAATCAGTACTGTAATGTAACACAGACTAAGCTCTTTTCACAGGAAGAACCATTTCAGAGCCAGAGCTATTATATCTGCTCTCTCAAGAGGCCTAGAACCCAAGGGTTAGTCCCTGAGAAGGGAAAGCCATTAGGAACTCTGGGGCCAAGTGGTTTCAAATCTGAATCCAAAAAGTATTGCTGGTTTCCCCGAAATACTATAGCCCCCAAAGGATATAAAAACTGCATTCCACATGAAAGGGATTTTTGCTTTATCTTTGCGCATTTTACATAATGTAATATTTCAAAATAAAAGGCTTGTTTTCCCTAAGAAATCCATGAACTTGGAATCAAACTCTAACAATAAATAATGAAAATACCCAAATCTTCACCTGATTTTATTCCTGCTCCGGTGGTACCACTTCCTCCTAGGGAAGCTGTGGTCTCTTAAAGATGGAGAGAAAACCAAAATAAATTGAGTATGAAGGAAGACAGGTGAGTTAAGCTGATGAGACTACGTGAGACAAATACAATTCAAAATGTCTTATCATCTACCACTAAGTCAGAAAAGAAGCCCTTTTCCATGTAAAAGTGTTTAGACACAAGTTTAATTGTCCATTTTTAACTCATGGATCTTCTTTGGACCTTAGGTAGTTGCAATGGTAATAAAGTATATAAAGGTCATATACGATATGTATATAGCAAGGAAATCATAAATGATCAATACGCTCATTACTATTAACATCATTATTTATTGCTTTAAGAATTAGACTTTTCATGAGAAAAAATTCTGCCAGTGACTACCAGTGTGTAATAATTCCAGTGTGGGATTAGAAATAGGAATCAATATCTCAATTCTTTACCCATAATGAGAAAGAAAATGGCCTAGGATGGGATAAGAAAACTATGCGTTTCCTCAATGTGTCAACAAGCTCTGTTCAGAGGTTTCTAGAAGCAGGAGTTAATCTGTGTAGGTTTTCTACACATCATTTTTATCTCATGGAATATTTAATGAATAAAATGTCAATAACTCAATCACTTCATTAAAATATCAATGAGAGGAAGAAAAACATTTATCTTCAATCTCCTAACTGAATCTCAGTGCCTTGGCTCCATGGTGAAGTCTCCTTGAAGCAGAGGAAAAGAAGGTTAAAAAGTTGAGTGTCTGGCCTTTAGTTATTAGGTAAAATCCTGCCTATGTGATAATCTTTCTTCAGAAAATGCTCTTCACAGAGAGTACAAACAGTAGATGCAATTCAGGCAACGTGGTCCACTGGGAGGCAGGTAGTGGTTCATCAGTGCTTACCTGAGGTGGGGCCAGCCCCTGTTATTCCACTTGCTCCAGAAGAAGTTGTGGCCACTGAGAAAGAAAGAACATACATAGAAAAGATTTAGGGGACTTAAAATGGAAAGGTAGTTATTCTGCATAAAAGCACCAAAAGGAAAGGCATATTATCATAGCAAGTACCCATGAAAGGATTCCCCACCACACTGTGGACTCACCTGTGCTGAAACTTCCAGGGGCAACTGTTGTGGCAAGAGATACCCCAGAGGTGCCTGAAACACAAAGAGACTGAGGTGATTATGGTGCATGAGTAAGTCAAATGAAGAACCGAATCTAAAAGGAATATGCTCTATGTATGTATATATTTATTTATTTATATGCCACCACAGAAATCTCTCTCTGAGCACGAGGCAAATGGTGAACTACATGTATTTGCCTGCTTTCAACAATTGAAACCAAAGCACATAGAAAATATTCCCAACTTCAGGCACACCTGGAAATTTGATAAAACAAAACTAGATGCATTTCCCCAATGCTCACCTGCTTGTTTCCCTGAGGCGGAAGTGATGCCTGCTGTGAGGGAGAAAGAGGAGGGAAAAAATGGCTTAAATGTATTAAAACTTGAAACATAAGAAAAAACATACTGAGTCAGCATTTTTATTCACATATACACTTGTAAATGCATGCTTCCTGGGTCCATGGGACTCTTTACTGTTTCACATACACACACGGAAAACTTTCTGAATTCCTCCTAAACTGCTAGCAATAGTTGTAACACAAATGGAGAAATTCCATCCCATCCTCAGAAATGGAACAGTAATGCTCCATTTTAGAATTAGTAGATTTTTAAAAAAATGTATTTCCACCAGCAAATCTATTTTGAATCACTTGCAATGTCCTAAATAAAATAAACACAAACTCTCTCAAGAAAAGCTTGAGACACTTCATAATTATGATGCCATAATTATAATTATGATGCCAGATTATGGGTTGCTTCTTCTCACCAGTTTTGAATCCAGTTCCAGAAGTACCTGTCCCTTCTGTGGAAGTGGTGGCCTCTGACGGAAGAAAGAGGAGAATGAAAAAGGCTGGGAATTTAGAATACTGGAAGAAGATATTAGGATATTACTGTATCATAGAAGTCATAAAAGAAATATGACATCTGACATTAAATAAGAATTTACTTCTTGTTAAGCTACTTGTGTTAAAACTTCCAGATATAATTGTCATTCCAGACAATTCTCCAGTGGTACCTAAAATGTCAAAAAAAAAAAAGTGGGGGGGAAGGAAATAAAGGAATAGAGCATTTTGTCTCCAGTTAAGCTTGAACCATCAACGTAGCCCTAAAGCACTGGAAGCCCTCTCCTGTAGACAGCATTTCTATAGAGAATGAAAATGATCACCTTCCTAGCACTTGATTTTCCAGGCCCACACGATGGATAGGTTGCTGCTGGGATACACTTTTACTAAGGCAAGGGGGGAATAGGGCTTTAAATCACCCTGACCTGTTTTCTTTCCAGGAACATATCCCTCTGGTGTGACAGAGGTACCTACAGGAGATATAATTCATTGTTTATATTTATAATTAGGACTGTGTGATACAACTTGGGGCATTTTAATAATCAGTTGTCTTCCTGAAGCTTTCTAGTGAGGGGAGAGAGGAAATCAACATCATGTGTAAGTATATGAGAAAAATGATAAAAAGTATCAAGCTGTGAGTGGAAAGGCTGGGTAAGGGGAATAGGAAGTCCTGGAAGGTTGTAATATATGAAATATTTTCTAATATGTTTAATTAGAAAAAAATAATGTCTCCATAAACTAGAATAGTGCAGACAGCTTGGCTGACAATCCAAGTCATGAAATTTACAAGTCCAGTAACTAACCAAGGTTGATATGACACAATATGGCTGAGGAGAAAATGCAAGCCCTTCCTTCAAATGCCTTCATATTATTTGTTCCCTGTACCCAACCCGACAGAGAGATGATGAGAGCCCCAGGTCTGGGCCTGCCGGGCTCACCTCTGGGTAATCCTGCTCGGGTGACCCCGCTACCTCCTGAGAAAGTTGTGGCCTCTGAGAGAGAAAGGAATTGGAGGTATGAAGACTGCACAGGACATTCTGGGGTCTCATAAGCTGTACTGGCCAAGGGGCCATGTTCTGAAGGTGCCTGACCTGTGTGGACACTTCCATCTTTCAGAGTTCTGCCAGAAATGCCCTCAGTAGTACCCCAGATAGGAAAGGATCATGGGCAGTTGGTCAATTTGTTGCGCCTTATGATATAAGCATAGGCTCTTAAAGAAAAAAAAAACTTTTTTCTTCAATACAACAGAAAATATATTTCTCTGCTGTTTCTATTTTAAGGGTCAATCCATATATTATTCATATAAACTATAATTCCCTCAGCAAGTTTACAGAGAAAGTCCTCTACCACCAAGTTCCATTTTTTAGGGTTTAGATAGAGAAAGATAGATTTGAGCCCAAGTCACACATATAGCTGTCAGGGAATGGGCCCTATGATATCCTGATAAAGGGACTTTAGAGCCAAGGCACAAGAAACAAGGAGAAAATGTTGAAGTGTCTGACCTGTATTTATTAATGTTAAATTTTGAACATCTAAATTTTTGCCTAATATGCCAAATATGGAAAATTCAAAAAATTTTGTCATATTTCAAGCAAGACATGTGAAATTATAACAAAGTACACTTCGTTCCTTAACAGAACTCACCTGTGATTATTTCAGCTCTTGTTATTCCACTTTTTCCCACAGAAGTTGTGGCCTCTGCAAAACAGGGAAAAAGAACAGCAGTGAGGGCAAAGATTAGAAGAATCTGAGAACAGTATGGTAGGATCACCCAGGCAGACACCTCATTGAGGAGCCCTTTCCAAGCAGTGGTTCCTCCCAGCCTGGTGCTTCACCTGAGTTGGAGCTCCCAGGGGTGACTGTTATACCAGAGGACACTCCAGCTGTGCCTAGGTAGAAAAGAAAAGAGAAAGATGAACATGGGAACTCTTTCATGACACTTGGAAAAATGTGGCCAACAGTATGTCTACTTGTGACTTTGAAGCAAGAAAGCACACTTCCTGAAATTATAACTGACATGAGGACTAACAGGTTTCAGGTTTATTGTGCGCCTTTGAAAAGCCAAGGGTGATGCAGTGGCTAATATTCCTGCCCTGATTATTATTACCAAGATTTGGTCAAAACTGAAGGTCATATGAAAGGCTTTCCCCAAGTTTACCTCTCCTACTTTCTGGTGCTGTAGTGGTGGTTCTTAATAAAAAGCATAAGAGAGAAGGAGAAAAAAGAGGAGGAGAAAACAAGAAAGAACAAGAAGGAAGAAAGATAATTTTGACTTTTTATCTCTAAACTAAAATATGACATCTTAGTGATTTCTACACTGTAGAAATCAGTATACTAATGTTATACAGACTATGCCCTTTTCAAAGGGAAAACCTTTTCAAAACCAGAGCTGTTATTGCAAGTCTCCTCTCCAGAGACCTAGAACCCTGATGTTAGTCTCTCAGAAGGGAAAGACTTTAGAAATTTTAGTCTCAAGAGTTTACAAATCCAAATCAAAGAGCAAACTCTGCTCTCTTGAAATATTACAGCCTCAAAGGAAATTTAAACCCACACTCCACATTAAAAAGATTCTCTGCATTATCTGTAATTTAAATTTATTTTCAAATTAAAAGCTCATTAAAAAAGTTTTCTCTAAGAAATCTATCAAAGTACAACAATAAATACAAATACCCCAGAGTCTTTACCTGATTTTATTTCTGCTCCAGTGGTGCTACTTCCTCCTAGGGAAGTTGTGGTCTCTAGAAGATGAAAAGAAACCAAAATTAATTGAGTATTAAGAAAGAGGGATGAGCTAAGCTGACGTCATTACATGAGATAACCTCAATTCAAAATGTCTTGACACTTTCTATTAAGTCAGAAAAGAAGGCCTTCCGAATTTAGAAGTAATGAAAACTATAAATATACAAGTTTAATTGTGAAAATGTGAAGATACAACATTTATAAATTTATTTTACTAATTGAACCTTAGATATTTTTTCATTGGAATAAGATATGTAAACCCATAATTAAAAAAGCAGATACAGTGTGGAACTCATAAATGATTGACATGCTCATTACTATTATCATCATTATTTATTGCTTTAAGTATTAGATTTTCGTGTGTAAGAATTTTTCCAGTGGTTACCACATTGGAACCTGGAATTATAGAGGTATAGGAATCAGTATTTTTACTCTTTGCACATAATGAAAACAAAATGGCCTTCGATGGGGTGAGGTGAATCTGTGTTGTCTTAATGTGTCAAAAAGCATTTTTTCAGAGGTTTCTAGAACCCGAGGTTAATCTATATTTTTTCATGTACCATTCCTATAGATTATTTAGTGAGAAAAATTTTAATAACTACTATTTTCTTTATATATCACTGAGGGAAAGAAAGACCTTTCTCTCCAATCACACAACTGATGCTCAGTGCCTTAGCTCTGAGCTAAGGTGAAGTCTCCTTGAAGCAGAGGAAAGGAAGACAAAGGCATTTGAGTGTCCAACTTTTACATATTAGGTAAAATCTTGCCTATTTGTAAATTTTTTTTTAAATGCGCTTCACAGGAAGTACAAACGGTAGATGTGATCAAGGCAAAGTGACCTACTGGGAAGGAGGTAGTGGATTGTCAGTTCTTACTTGCAGTTGTTGTAACCCCAGTCATTCCACTTGCTCCAGGAGAAGTTGTGGCTGCTGGGAGAAGAAGGACACAAATGGAAAAGATTCAGGGGGCATGGAATGGAACGGTGGAGCTCCTGCATAGAAGCACCAAAAGGAAAGACATGTTACTGTAGCAAGCACCCGTGAAAGGATTCCCCACCACACAGTGGACTCACCTGTGCTGAAACTTCCACGGGCAACTGTTGTGGCAGGGGCTACCGCTGAGATACCTGAAACACAAAGAGACTGAGGTGATCACAGTGAATGAGTAAGTCAAATGAGGACCTGAATCTAAAAGGGATAAGCTGTATTTCTGTATTTAATTGCCATAACAGAATCCTCTTTCTCTGAGCAGGAGGCAGGTGGAAAACTTGGTGTATCTGCCTGCTTTCAACAATTCATAACAAAAGAAGATACAATGTTTCCAAGAACAAGCACAACTGAAAAGGTGATAAAAGTGAAACTAGATGCATTTTCCCAATGCTCAGCTGATTGCTTCCCTGTTGCTGCAGTGATGCCTGCTGTGAGATAGAAAGAGGAGGAAAAATAGTTTAAATGTATTGAAGCTACACAGGTAGGAGAAAATACTGAGTCAGTATTTTTGTTCAAATATAAATGTTAAATGTATGTGTCCTGGTTCCATAGAGGTCTTTTCTGTTTCACACACATGCACTGAAAACTTTCTGAATTCCACCTAAACTGCTAGCAGGAGTTGTAACATAAATGGAGAAATGCATCGTATCCTCAGAAATGAAGCAGTAATGATCCATTTTAGAATTAGTGGATTTTCAAAAAAAAACATACCTCCACCAGCAAATCTATTTTGAATCACTTGCAGTGTCCCTAAATAATACAAACACAAACTCTCTCAAGAAAAGCTTGGGAGACCTAATATTTATGACGTCAAATCACGGGATGTTTCTTCTCACCAGTTTTGAATCCAGTTCCAGAAGTACCAGTCTCTTCTGTGGAAGTGGTGGCCTCTGATGGAAGAAAGAGGAGAATGAAAAAGACTGGGAATTTAGAATACTGGAAGAAGATATTGGGATATTACTTTATCAGAGAAGGCTTTAAAAAATCATGACATCTGACATTAAAATAAGAGACATTTCTTGTTAAGTTACCTGTGTTAGGACTTCCAGATATAAAGGTCATTCCAGACAATTCTCCAGTGATAACTAAAATGAAACAAAAAAAAAAAAAAAGGAAAGGAAATAAAAGAATAGAGCAGTTTGTCTCCAATTAAGCTTGGAAGCATCAATGTAGCACTAAAACCCTCTCCTGTGAACACTCGATTTCTATAGAGAAAGGAAAACAAACAACTTCCTAGCACTTCATTTTCCAGGCCAACATGGGATGGATGTGTTGCTGCTGGGATTCCCTTTCACTGTGAGGCAAGAGAAAAATAGGGCTTAAATCAACCTGACCTGTTTCCCTTCTAGGAATATATCCCCCTGGTGTGACAGAGGTGCATACAGGATGAAAAAATCATTGTTTTATATTTATAAGCAGGACTGTGTGATACAACTTGAGGAATTTTAATAATCAGTTGTCTTCATGAAGCTTTCTAGTGTGAGGAGAGAGAGGAAATCAACATCATGTGTAAGTATATGAGAAAAATGATTTAAAAAGTATCAAGATGTGAGTGGAAAGGCAACCTCGGTAGGGGAATAGGAAGTCCTGAAAGGCTAAAATATATGAAACGTTTTTAAATATCTTTTATGAGAAAAAATAATGTCTCCATAAGCTAGAATAGTGCACACAGCCTGGCTGACTATCTAAGGTCATGAAATTCAAAAGCAGAATAACTGACCAGGTTGACAGGACACCATATGACCCAGAATAAAATGCAGGCCCCTGCTTCAAATGCCTTCACTACATGTTCTCTGTAGCTACCAGCTAGAGACATGATGAGACCCTCAGGCCTAAGCCTGACAAGCTCACCTCTGGTTGGTCCTGCTCGGGTGGTTCCACTTCCTCCTGGGAAAGTTGTGGCCTCTGAGAGAGAAAGGAATTAGAGGTATGAAGACTGCACTGGACATTCTAGGGCCCCATAACCTGTATTTCCCAAAGGGCCACGTTCAGAATTCCTGACCTGTGGGGGCACTTTTAGCCTCCAGAGTTCTGCCAGAGACGCCCTCAGTAGTACCTGAAAAAGAAAGGATTGAGGTCAGTTGGTCAGTTTATTGCTCCTCATGATATGGGCAGAGGCTCTTAATGAAAAAAAAATTCTTTTCTTTAATAAAACAGAAAATTTATTACTCTGGAGTTTCTCTTTTTAAGAGTTGATCCATGCATTGTCCATAGAACATATAATTCCCTCAGCAAGTTTACAGAGAAAGTCCTCTGCCACTGAGTTTTTATTTTTAGAATTTCGGTCCAGAAAGATAGATTTGGGCCAAAGTCACCTATATAACCATCAGGGAATAGGCCCCATGATGCCCGGATGAAGGGTTCTGAGACCCAAGGCAAAAGATATAAGGGGAAAATGTTGAAGTATCTGAACTATATTTATTGATATTAAATATTGAACATCTGCTAAATTTTTGCCTAATATGCCAACTATAGAAAATTTAAAAACTTTTGCCATATTTCTATTGAGACATGGGAAATTATAACAAAGTAAACTTAGTTCCTTAGCAGAGCTCACCTGTGATTATTTCAGCTCCTGTTTTTCCACTTTCTCCTACAGAAGTTGTAGCCTCTGCAAAACAGGGACAAAGAACAGCAGTGAGGGCAAAGCTTAGAAGCATCTGAAAAAACACGGTAGGATCACCCAGGCAGACACCTCATTGAGGAGCCCTTTCCAAGCAGTGGTTCCTCCCAGTCTGGTGCTTTACCTGAGTTGGAGCTCCCAGGGGAGACTGTTGTAGCAGAGAGCACTCCAGCTGTGCCTAGGTAGGAAAGAAAAGAGAAAGATCTACATGGGAACTCTTTTGTGACCCTTAGAAACATGTGGCCAACAGTAGGTCTATTTGTGACTTTGAAGCAAGAAAGAACACTTCCTGGACTTATAACTGACATAAGGACAACCATGTTTGAGATTCATTGTGTTTCTTTACAAGGCCAAGGTTAATGCAGTAAGCAATATCCCTGCCTTCATCATAATGATTATTATTATGCCAGTGTTGGAGGTCTTATGAAAGGCTTTCCCCAAGTTTACCTGTCCTACTTCCTGGTGCTCCAGTGGTGGCTCCACATGAAAAGAGATCAGGAGAAGAAGAGGAGAAGGAAAGAAGAGGAAAGGAGAAAGAAAATCTTAAATTTTCATCTATGAACAGGACATTAATGTTTTACAGACTATGCTCTTTTCAAAGGGAAAACCACTTCAAAGCCAGAAGTGGAGAGCAACCCTCCTCTCCAGCAACCTAGAACTCTGAGGTTAGTCTCCCGAAGGGAAAGACTTTAGGAACTTTGGGCTCAAGAGTTTACAAATTCAAATCCAAGAAGAAACTCTGTTTCCTTGAAATATTATAGCCTCAAAGGAAATTTAAAACCACACTCCATACTAAAGGGATTCTCCACATTATCTGTGATAATTTTCTGCAATTTCAATTTATTTCCAAATTAAAAACTCATTAAAAAATTTCCTCTATGAAATTTATCAAAATACAACAATAAACATAAATACCTCAAAGTCTTTACCTGATTTTATTTCTGCTCCAGGGGTGTCACTTCCTCCTAGGGAAGTTGTGGTCCCTTGAAGAAAACCAAAATTAATTGAGTATTAAGAAAGAGGGATGAGCTAAGCTGATGTCATTATATGAGATAACCTCAATTCAAAATGTCTTGACACTTTCTATTAAGTCAGAAAAGAAGGCCTTCTGACTTTAAAAGTAATGAAAACCATAAATATATAAGTTTAATTTTTAAAACCAAGAGATACATCACTTGTAAATTTATCTTCTTAATTGGACCTTAGGTATTTCTTAATTGGAATAAGATATGTAAACCTCTAATTAAAAAAGTAGATATAGTAAGGAACTCATAAATGATCAACGTGCTTATTACTATAATCATCATTATTTATTGCTTTAAGTATTAGACTTTTCATGTGTAAAAGTTTTGCCAGTGGCTACCACATTGGAACTCAGAGTGATAGGAATCAATATTTTTATTCTTTACACATAATGAAAAGAAAATGACCTTTGATGGGCTCAGGGAACTCTGTTTTGTTAATGTGTCAGCAAGCTCTTTCAGAGGTTTCTAGACCAGGAGTTAATCTTTATGTTTTGCATGCACAATTTCTATAGAATATTTAATGAGGAAAATGTTAGTGGCTATTATTTCCTTTATATATCACCGAGGGAAAGAAAGACCTTTCTCTCCAATCACACAACTGATGCTCAGTGCCTTAGCTCCATGGTGAAATCTCCTTGAAGCAGAAGAAAGGAAGATAAAAGCATTTGAGTGTCTGACATTTACGTATTGGTAAAATCTTGCCTATTTGGAATTGTGGTTTTTTCCCAACAAAAATGCTCTTCACAGGAAGTACAAATGGTAGATGTGATTGAGGCAATGTGACCTACTGGGAAGGAGGTAGTGGATTGTCAGTTCTTACTTGCAGTTGTAACGCCAGTCACTCCTGTTGCTTCAGGAGAAGCTGTCACTGCTTGGAGAAGAAAGACACAAATGGAAAAGATTCAGGGGGCATGGAATGCAATGGTGGAGCTCCTGCATAGAAGCACCAAAAGGAAAGACATGTTACTGTAGCAAAGCACCCATGAAAGGATTCCCCACCACACGGTAGACTCACCTGTGCTGAAACTTCCACGGGCAACTGTTGTGGCAGGAGCTACCACTGAGATGCCTGAAACACAAAGAAACTGAGGTGATCACAGTGAATGAGTAAGTCAAATGAGGACCTGAATCTAAAAGGGATATGCTGTGTTTCTGTATGCATTTGCCATAACAGAAATCTCTTTCTCTGAGTACAAGGAAAGTGGAAAAATTGATGTATTTACTGCTTTCAACAGTTCATAATAAAGGAGATAGAGAGACAGTGTTTCAAGTACAAACACAACTGAAAATTTGACAAAAGAGAAACTAGATGCATTTTCCCAATGCTCACCTGCTTGCTTCCCTGTCGCTGCAGTGATGCCTGCTGTGAGATAGAAAGAGGAGGGAAGAAAGGTTTAAATGTGTTGAAACTTCAGATATAGGAGAAAATGTTGGACAAGCCAATTGTTAGCTACACAATTATGGATGCATGCTCCCTGTTTCCATGAGGCTCTTTTCTACTTCATGCACATTCACACAGAAAGCTTTCTGGTTTCCAGCTCAAATGCTGGTGAGAGTTGTAACTCAATAGAAAAATCCCATCCTGTCATCCAACTTGGTGAAGGGAGGCTCAATTCTAGGACTGGTAGTTTTTCCAAATAAATTAACAAATAAATAACAGCAATCCTATTTTGAATTACTTACAATGTCTCTAAATGAAACACAACTCTCTCAAGGAAAGCTTGAGAGTACTAATCCTTATGAGGCCAAAGTATGGACTGTTTATTGTCACCAGTTTTGAGTTCAGTTCCACTAGTGCCACTCCCTACAATGGAAGTTGTGGCTTCTGAGGGGAAGAGTAGAATAGTGAAGTCTGGGAATTTGGAATACTGGAGGGGATTTGGGGGTGTTATTTTATCATAGCCGTCCTAAAAGAGATACTGTGACATGTGACATTAAATAAGAGGCATTTCCTTCTTGTTAAACTACCTGTGGTGGAAGTTTCAGATATAATGGTTGTTCCAGATAATTTTCCAGTGGTACCTAAAATGCAAAAAAGGAAAATGGAACTATAGAGTATTATCTCCCCAACTAAGCTTGGAAGCATCAATGTGGCCCTAAAGCACTGGAAGCCCATTCCTGAGTACACTGTTTCTATAGAATAAAAATGAACAGCTGCTTAGCACTGGGCTTTCCAGGCCAACATGGGATAGATGTGTGGCTACTGGGTTTCCCTTTTACTACAAGGCAAGGGGAGAATAGTCCTTTAAATCTGTTTGCCTTCCAGAGACATAGCCCCCTGCTGTGACAGAAGTGCCTACAGGAGAAACAAAGCATGGTTTTATCTTTATAAGTAGAACTCTTTCATACAACTTGAGGGCATTTTAATAATCACTTGACTTTATGAAGCTTTCTAGTGAGGGGATACAGAAAATAAGCATCATGTATAATTAAAGTAGAAAAATGTCAAGCTGAATAAAAAGGAATGAGATCATGTCCTTTGCAGGGACATGGATGGAGCGGGAGGACATCATCCTCAGCAAACTATCACAGGAACGGAAAACCAAACACCGCTTCTTCTCACTCTTAAGTGGGGGGTTGAGCAATGAGATCGCATGGACACAGGGAGGGGAACATCACATGCCAAGGCAAATTAAAGGATGGGTCAATAGGTGCAGCAAACCACCATGGCACACGTATCCCTATGTAACAAACCTGCACATATCCCGGAACTTAAAGTAAAAGAAAAAGAAAAAGAAAAGAAAGTGTCAAGCTGTGGGTGGAAAGGTAAACTGGCTAAGGAAGACTGGAAGTCCTGGAGGGTTGGAATGCATGTAATACACTCTCAATCTTCGTATCAGACAAAAATGTCTCCATAGGCTAGGATACTGGAGATAGCCTGGCTGAGACATCTGAGGTCATGGAATTTATAAGCAGAATAACTTTTCAGACTGTTATGACATAATATGGCCTCAGAGAATGCCGACTTCTCCTCAAATGCTTTCATATTATTTGTTACTGCAGCCACCAAAATTGAGAGATGATGAGAGCCTCAGGCCTCTGCCTGAAAAGCTCACCTCCAGGTGGTCCTGCTTGGGTGGTCCCACTGCCTCCTGGGAAAGTTGTGGCCTCTGAGAGAGAAAGGAACAGAAGGTAAGAATTAACAGCATTTGCAGTGACCTGGATGAGACTGGAGACTATTATTCTAAGTGAAGTAACTCAGGAATGGAAAACCAAACATCGTATGTTCTCACTGATATGTGGGAGCTAAGCTATGAGGACGCAAAGGCATAAGAATGATACAATGGACTTTGGGGACTTGGTAGGGGGAAGAGTGGGAGGGGGCAAGGGATAAAAGACTACAAATAGGGTGCAGTGTATACTGCTCAGGTGATGGGTGCACCAAAATCTCACAAATCCCCATTAAAGAACTTACTCACGTAACCAAATACCACCTGTACCCCAATAACTTATGGAAAAATAAAATAAAAAATATTTTTTTAAAAAAAAAAGGCTGCACAGGACATTCTGAGCCTCCCATAAGCTGTATTGCCCAAGAGGCCACATTCAGAATTCGTGACCTGTGTGGGCACTTCCAGCTTCCAGAGATTTCCCAGAGATGCCCTCACTAGTACCTGAAATTAGAAAGGATTGTAATTGGTTAATTTGTGGTCTTTAATTTAACGGACATGGGCTCTTAATAATAAAACAAATTAAATGTTTGTTTCTTTAATATACCAGGAAATTAATTTTTCTGGACTTTAGTTTTGAGAGTGAATCCACACTTTGCCCATGGAACATATCATTCCCTGAGCAAGTTTACTGTGATTTGTTCTGAGAGAAAGTCTTCCACCACTAGTCCCTTTCTTAGGTTTTAATGATAGCAATGTACACTTGGGCCCAAATCATCTATGTAACTGTCAGGGAATGGGTCTCATGATGCTGTGATGAAGGATCCTTAGACCCACGGTGCAAGACATAAGGAGGAAAATTTGAAAGGTCTGTACTGTATTTATTGATGTCAAATGTTGGACATCTGTTAGATTTTCCTTAATATGCCAATTCTGGGGAATTCAAAAAGTATTTACGTATTTCAGGCCAGATTCTTGGGAAGGTTTCAGGAATAGTTAATACCTTAACAGAGCTCACCTGTGATTATTTCAGCTTTTGTTGTTTCTCTTTCTCCTACAGAAGTTGTGGCCTCTGAGAAAGAGGAAAACAGGACAGAAGTGATGAACAATATTTCAACACCATGGAAAACCTATGGTAGTTCTCCTACCCAGGGTAACACTGGAGGAGAATTTGTCATAGATGGACTCGTGGAGGAATGTGCCACCTCAGGGACCCACCTGTGTTGGAACTGCCAGGTGCAACAGTTGTGCCAGGAGCTACCCCAGTGGTGGCTGAAACACAAAGGGTCTGAGATCATCACAGTGACTTGTGTTTGTCTTCTGAAGACCTGCCTCCAGCAGGAATCTGGGCGTATCTTTGTTATATCAAAAAGCCCTTTCACTGCTTCCTGATGAACTGAGAATTGTATGCCTTTGCTGTGACCCATAGCATTAACAAAGCAGTGGAAATAGTAATGTGCCCAAATTGAGGTCCCTCCACTGAATTTCATCCATTCACTCCCAGACAAGGAAACGGGGTGGTTTTCTCTCCCCTTCACTGGTCAGGCTCCCAGTTGCTTGGCCTCCTGAGGCTGCTGTGGTGCCTGCCATGGGATGAAAACCAGAACAATGTTTTCATGTGCCAAGAACACTGGAAAATATTTCACATCATTATTGCTTTTTTGAGTGAGAAAACTTTTATATAGGGTATGCCTGCTTCTAGAACTTATATTGTTTTCTTTCCAGAAATACACTGTTTTCCAGCTCCCCTACACCATAGTGGTATGTATGACTTTGCAGGAGAAATCTCTTATGCTGATTGCACCACCAGCCCCTCTTTAGAAAGTTACAGCTGTGGGGCTAGATGTTGGTTTTAAGAGTTTTCCAGAATATGTTCAGTGTGAGAAAACACTGAAAGTAAATGCAAACCACTACCCAGGAAAACACACTCCCAAAAGATGAGCCTACGGAGAGTCACAATGGATGCTAAACCCTAAGCTGTGCTCTGCTCATTCTCACCTGGGCTGGATCCAGATGGAGGAATGCTGCGGCCTTCTATTAAAGTTGTGGCCTCTGGGGGAGGAAGTGATGAATGGTGAGATCAGAATTTGGGATATTGGGAAAAGAATGAGGTTGGTATTTCATCAAAGCAGCTCTAAAACTATATTATATGGTTAAACATGGAGATTTCCTGCTTATCAACCTACCAGTGTGGGACGTTCTAGATATAGCAGTTGTCCCAGAGAATTCTTCTGTAGTAACTAACAGTGGAAAAAGAAAGGGATCAACATGGCATTACCTCCTAAATCAGTTGTGGAAGTAGCTATGTGGCTTTAATCCACTGGAAGAACATTCCTGAAAGCCTCTATTTTGTAAGGAAATAAACTATAAGTGACTACCACTTCATGTTCTGGCCCACCTATCCATCACTGTTGCTACTGGGGTTCCCTTTCCATAGAGCACACTGAATGTGGATGGGAACCCTATCTCCTCCTCACCTGTTTCACTTTCAGATGCTGAGCTCTCTGGTGTGACAGAGGTACCTTCAGGAGAAAAAAAAAAAGCAGATGACATTCATCTTTCTGAATTTTACTCATCAATTACCTCAGGCGTTTTGATACTGAGAATTTGAAAATAGAACTTGTTAACTCTAATCCTAGCATATGAGGACTGTATTTAGTCCTTCCTACCTGGTCTGGAGCTCTGTGAACTGCTGCTGACTCGAGCTGAAACCACAGTTGTACCTATTAAAGAAAGTGGAGTGAAAAAATCTTCAAATAAAACATTTCACCTTTCAACTAAGCTTTATTAAATATCTCTTTCATGTGATATTGTTTTAGGCCCTTGGGATGTATGAGTGAGCAAAATGTTCAAAGACCTCTCTCCTAATGCACCTTACATTCTAGTAGCTGGAGGACAACAATGAACAATAAATGTAACGAAGAAGTCAGTGTGAAAGATGTTAGTAAACACTTCAGGAAAAAGGCAAATTGTATAAAAGGGTCAGGGACCCTGATAAGCAGGGGTTATCCAGAAGCTCACCCTCATCCCTGCTACATAATAACTAGCTCTGCAAGCCTGGACTCCTGGAAATCCAGAGGGATAAGTCAGGTGAGGCCAGGGAATTCCTAGGCACACCCAGGTTTTGACTCTGGCATGTTATATTCCCAGAGGAAATGCAGGCTCCTTTCCTCTGCCCACTTTCACACCCATGTCTTCACTGCAGAGAATAGGGATTTGATTAAAGCACTAAGGCCTCAGAGTAAAAAGCTCACCTCCTGGACGTTCTGCTTGGCTGATGTCACCCCCTACTATGGAAGTTGTGGCGCCTGAGAAAGAAAAGAAAGGAAGGGGCAAAGATTAAGGTTTGGGAGACCATACACAGTGCTGCAGGCAGACTATGTCAACCAAGGTGCCCATGTCCAGATTTTGCATGTATTTTCAGACTCGCCTGTCTTGTAACTTCCAGATTTCAGTGTTTTTCCAGAGACTACGCTAGTAATACCTACAATAACAAAGAGATGGTGTCACTAGTTCAACAGTTTGTCCACTGATTTGAATAGGAATCTCAAATCCCCACTTGGAAGCAAACTATTACTCTGACACTTGCAGTGCTAGAAGTAATTCGTATTTGTCCGTGCAATACTTCTTTCCACACAGTTTCACTGAGACAGTTCCCAACTAACTATCATGTCCTTCTTTTTGGCGGGGAAATTGGAATTTTCTCCCTATATTACCTATTTATCTGTCATGGTTTTATGTTACGATGCTTTAATGAAAGCCCCTGTAAGCCCAGGAAATAAGCAGGCAATATAATGATTGTGTAGTCTTTTTCTCTGAATTTTCTCAATATAGCATAGACAAATCATGCAGATATTTTCAGAAGACTATTGAAGGTGTCATTAGGAATTACAGGTCTTAGTCTAGCAGCACTCACCTGTGGCTCTTCCAACGCTTGTTGTTCCACTTACTCCTAGGAAAGTGGTGGCCTCTAAGGGAGACAAAGGGATAAGAGTTACCTGGAGTATATTTAAGGATTGTGGAGATGATATGGTGCTACTCCTGCAAAAAATAATACAAAGGAGATATCTAATTATGCGAGGGCACGTGGAAGATTCCATGTCAACCTGTTGACTTACCTGTCTTGGAACGGCCAGGGGCAACAGTTGTGGCAGGAACTACCCCAGTGGTGGCTGAAACACAAGGGGAAGTGGCATCACCACAGTCACTCTTGTTTGTCTCCTGAAGACCTGCCTCTAGAAGGAATCTGTTTACATCTTTAAGATGTCAAAGGTCACTTTCTCTGGCTGCCACTCTGATGTGTTTTCCCATTCATTAATAAACTACCAACTTGGGGCATTATAGCTGACATCCCATGACAGCGAGACAGACAGTTTTCTCCCACATTTACCTATTTCACTGCCAGGAATAGAAGACAAAAAACATTTGCTTTATAAAAATTGTATCTATTTCTAATTACATTTTTAATTGACATATAATTTTACATATTTTCAGTGCGAGGTTTTGATCTAGATGTACATATATTGCATAATAGTCAAGTCATGGTCTTTAGCATAACCATAATCTCTGACATTTATCATAACTTTGTGGTAAGAAAATTTAGAATCCTCTTGATCTGCTTTGGCTGTGTCCGCACCCAAATTTCATCTCGAAATGTAGCTCCCACAATTCACATGTGTCACGGGAGGACCCGGTGGGAGATAGTCGAATCATGGGGGTGGGTCTTTCTCCTGCTATTTTTGTGATAGTGAACAAGTCTCACAAGATCTGATAGTTTTATAAAGGGGAGGTCCCCTGCACAAGCTCTCTCTTGCGTGTTGCCATGTAAGTCATGCCTTTTGCCTTCCACCATGATTGTGAGGCCTCCATAGTTACGTGGAACTGTGAGTCCATTAAACCTCTTTTTCTTTATAAACTATGCAGTCTTAGGTATGTCTTTATCAGTAGCATGAAAATGGACTGATACATCTCTCTTCAAGGTATTTTCAAATATATACAATAATACTGCTTACTGTAGGCACTCCACTACACTATAGACCACCAGAACTAATGCCTGCTATCTAATTGTGATTTTGTCCCCATTGACTTATTACTGATTATTTCTATCACTTTAGGGCAAAAAAATCTATGTAGGCATGACTCCAAGATTCATATACCTCTACTTCCCAGGGTTAAAATTGCTTTTAGTTCCTACTACTATGCTGAAAATATTTCAATATAATGTTATAGGGAAATTTCTCAAAACAATTACATTCCATTTACACCCCAACTAGAAGAGTCAACCCATTTGAAAAGTGTATATTAAAAGGTTAAGGAAAATATTAGATTAAAAAATATATTTGTCCTTAGACAGATTGCCCCTAAATAAATTACTTCATATTCTGTAGGAAAGCCTACTTCCAAACAAGTCATCCTGAAAATCATGATTCTTGGTAACTCCCAAATCTTGCGCTGCCATCCTCACCTGTTTTGGATTCACTTCTGGTACTGCTCCTGTCTCCTGTGAGAGTTGTGGCCTCTGAGGAAAGAAAGAGAAGAATCAAGAGGTCTAGGAAATTTGAGATGCTGGTAAAAAGTACTGAGTTGCTATTTTATTACTGAATTTCTACAAAGTTATCACCCATGCAAGATGATGATGTCTTTCTTATTGAACTACCTGTGTTGGAACCTCCTGATGAAATGGTTGTCCCAGAGAATTTACCAGAAGTCCCTAAAATGAGAAAGTAAAGGAGCTAATAGAGCAAGCAGTACTGGAATCAGCAATGTGGTCCTGAAACAGTGAAAGACCTTTCTTGAAAACTTGTTTCAGAAAATATGAACCAGGAATAATTTTTTTGCCAACTTACTAACGTTTTTCTACTGACTATCCCTTCCCCTGTACTTTACTGAAAAAGGAAGCTTAAGTTCACTTTCTTGATTTTACTTCAAATATTGTGCTTTCCTTGTGCTCCCAGGAAAGAGAAAAAGACTTGAACATTCTAAATGTTCTCATATTGGTAACTGGCGATATTGTGCTTATCAGATGCTGAGCAATGCCCTACTATGAGATATTTATACCCTCCCCTGCTGATTTTAAGTAGTTCATCCTACCTTGCTTTGGACCGTGTGAACTGCTGCTGACACCAAATGAAACTGTGGTGGTAGCTGCTAAATTAAACATAGTGACACTCTGCATAAGAATATACCAGTCACCCATCTCACATTATGGAAGCATTTCCTCTGTGCCTGACATCCTCTTCTCAGAGAAAAGAATAGACAAAGGTCTCTGCCTCATGTGATTTACGTTTATGGGAGAGGGAAAACATGAAATAAACAAGAAGTGTAATAAATATGTTCGAGAGATGGCAGCAGGTGATAGTGCTATGCAGAGTGGTGATGAGCAGAGCAGGGAGAATCAGGGTTCTGGGGAGGCTGCTGCAGGTCAGTGGGCCTCAGACAGGTGTTCAGAGAACTAACACTGTCACACAGGCTATGGGACAATGCCTGACTTAGATAACCCAGTGTCTGAAACTCCTTAGCAGAACTACTCAGGTTGGCCAGAATACATGTTGACCTTCCAGACAAGAATTAAGCCCCTTCCTTGGCCCCGTTTCTCATTTATGTGTTATCCTGAGCACAAAACGGCAATGATGAGAACTCTGAAGGCTGGGACTGATGAAGCTTACTTCCTGGAGCTTCTGATCTGGTGGTCCTGACCCCTCTGGTAGAACTTGTGGCCTCTGAGAGAAAAGAAAGCAAGGATGACATCTACAGTATGGGAAGTACAGGGTTATGTAACCCTACAAGCCTGTCACCTGAGTAGGCATGGTGTAGCATCCCCTGTGTGCTTGTGGACTTGCCTGTGTTGTTGTTCCCAGGCTCCAGAGTCTTTCCAGAGAATGCCCCAGTGGTAGCTATTAAGAAAGAGATGGGTAGTCATGGATCAGTACCTTGTCATCATCAAGTGGGCAAAGAATAACAACCTCAAAGTGGATAAATCTGTATGCTTATTCAGTATTTCAGGAAACTGGGCTTTAAATCCCAAAAGGTCATCCATAGACTCCTCATTTAATATCCTTCCCATGGTATAGTACCAAAGGAACTTTTACTTATTGAGTCTCCATTTCTCCAGGTTTCAGGAACAGGGTCCTAGCAGCTACCACCCTAGATTCTTTATATAACTATCCAATGGCTGCATGATTATCTTGGGAACTAGTGGAAGATTCGCTTAAAATATAGAAAGAAATTAAATTTTGAGTTTCTGATTTGCTATTACTGATTTGCTAATTTTGAGTTTCTGATTTGCTCTTACTTTCAATAGCAAAACCACAGTTACTTTTGCAACAACCTAATATAATTAATGAATGAAGGTAAGATTTTACCTAACAATGCTCAATGTTGCAGAAATGGGTAGCATGCATACATTTCAAGCATTAAACTTTAATGGATATTATTAAAAAGTGAGTCCAATGACCCAGCAATGCTCACCGGTGGTTATTCTACCTCTTGTTTTTGCACTTCCACCTAGAGAAGCTGTGGCCCCTGAGAGACAGAAAAATGGAAAGGCATATTAAGAAATATTCAATAAAACTGAAATGAACATGATACAACTTCTTGAAAGAACAGCAGCAGAGGAGACATCGAACATCGAAATACGGGCAGAGCTCAGAAGGTTCCCTGGCAACATGCAGACTCACCCGTGTTGGAACTGCCAGGGGCAAGAGTTGTGCCAGGGGCAAGAGTTGTGCCAGGAGCTGCCCTAGCGGTGGCTGAAACAAGGAAAAGTGGGATCACCATGGTGATCAAGTTTTCCCTTTCCTGTAGGCCTGCCTCTAAAACTACCCAGATCTACCTTAATTATTTATAAATGGTGCTTTCCATGATCCTCCCTGATGTCATGTCCTGTATATTTTCTCCATATCCATTTTACTAGCAAAACAATCAGAAGGTCTGGTTCCTCAACCTAAGGCAATATTTCTGGTCTTCCATCAGGAGACAGGTGGTGGTGCCCATGTTTACCACTTTACTCCCCAGAATGTGGAAGACAAAAACAATTTTCCTGAGACTCTTACGCATCAAGAATATATTTTACATTTCTGTTGCTTCTGAGGTTTGAAAACCACTATTTTGGTATGTTTCTAAGGCTCATTTCAGTTAATTCTTCTGCCCTAGATAAAAACTGTTCATAGTTCCTAGTAATACCCTTGCAACATTTCCAAGTATCCTCACAGGAGAAACGTCTCAGAACAAATGCAACAGAAATCTCACTTTAAAAGAGGCTATTGGTAAAGTTTTATAAACAGTAAAATCTAAAGAAAATTCTGTGGGACCTAAGATCCATTATACTTAAATAAATTCATAATATTCTGCAGAAAAGTCCACGTCCAAACAAGACATTCTAATGAGAGTCAAGATTCCTGGTAATATGTGAATTATGGGCTGCTCTTCCTCCCCTGCTCTGGATTCAGTTCCTGTACTGCCCCTGCCTCCTGTGAAAGTTGTGACCTCTGAGAAAAGGAAGAATAGGATCAAGAGGTCTGGGAGACACTGGTAAAAAGCATGAGTTGCTATTTTGTGATTGCAGCTCCTCAAAGTCATCATGCATTCAAGATGAAGATTTCCTTCCCATTCAACTACCTGTGTGGGATCCTCCAGATGTAATTGTTGTCCCAGGGAATTCACCAGGATTACCTAAAATGAGAAGGTAAAGGAGCTAATAGGACAAACAACACTGGAAACAGCAATGCTGCCTTGATCCACTGGAAAACCTTTCCTCAGAATCTCTGTTTCTGAAGGAAATGAACCATGAATAGGTTTCCCTGCAATGTATGCACTACTGTTTTTTTGTTTTGTTTTGTTTTGTTTTGTTTGTTTTGTTTTGTTTTGTTTTGTTTGGTACTGACTATTTCTTCCATCACAGCCTATTCAAAAAGAAGGAAGTTTAAACTCACTTTACAGATTTCATGTCCAGTGACTTGGCTCCCTGGTGTTCCAGGAGCAAGAGAAACTCTTGAATATTCTAAGTGTTCTCCTTTGTGGAACAGGTAATCCTGTGATTAACATGTTTTTAAGAATAAACACATAGGAGACATTTATAGCTTCCTTTAGTGTTTTTCTGTAGCCTATGCCAACTGGCATGGGATCCTGTGAACTGCTGCTGACAGGAAGGGAAACTGTGGTGGTAGCTACTGAAGTGAACAGACTGACATTCTACATAAGAATATGCCTATCACGACTGGATTAAGAAAATGTGGCACATATACACCATGGAATACTATGCAGCCATAAAAAAGGATGAGTTCGTGTCCTTTGTAGGGACATGGATGCAGCTGGAAACCATCATTCTCAGCAGACTATCGCAAGAACCAAAAACCAAATACTGCATGTTCTCACTCTTAGGTGGGAATTGAACAATGAGATCACTTGGACACAGGAAGGGGATCATCACACACCAGGTCCTATTGCGAGGGCGGGGGGGAGGGATAGCATTAGGAGATATACCTAATGTAAATGACGAGTTAATGGGTGCAGCACACCAACATGGCCCATGTATACATATGTAACAAACCTGCACGTTGTGCACATGTACCCTAGAACTTAAAGTGTAATAAAAAAAAAAGAAAAAATAAAAAAAAGAATATGCCTGTCACTTCTCTTATATTTTAGATGCATTTCTACTGTGCCTGATAGTCCTGTCAGTGAGAAGAAAGGTTTCTGCCTCATGTGATTTACATTTGATTTACGAAAAACAGAAAATTAACAAGAAGTATAATAAATATGTTTGAGTGATGGCATGAGGTTATAGTACTTTGCGGAATCATGATGAGCAGAGCGGGGAGAATCAGTATTTCGGGAAGGCTGCTGCAGGTCAGTGGGCCTCAGACAGGTGTCCAGAGAACTAACACTGTCACACAGGCCATGGGACAATGCCTGACTTAGATGGCCCAGTTTCTGAAATTCCTTAACAGAACTACTCAGGGTGGTCAGAATACATATTGTGCTTTCAGACAAGAAGTAACTGCCCTTTCCTTGGCCGCCATTCTCATTTATGTGTTCACCTCAGCACAACAGGGCAGTGAGAAGAACCCCAAAGTCTGAAAATGATGAAGCTTACCTCCTGGAGCTTCTGACCCAGTGGCTCTGACCACTCCTGTGGAACTTGTGGCCTCTGAGAGAAAAGAAAGCAAGAATGAAGTCTGCAGTATGGGGAGTGCAGGGTTATGTTACCCTAGGAGCCTGTCACCCAAGCAGCCATGGTGTAGCATTCCCTGTGTGGCTTTGAACTTGCCTGTGTTGTCGTTCCCAGGCTCCAGAGTCTTTCCAGAGAATGCCCCAGTGGTAGCTATTAAGAAAGAGATGGGTAGTCGTGGGTCAGTACCTTGTCATCATCAAGTGGGCAGAGAATAACAACCTCACAAATGGCTAAATCTGTATGCTTATTCAATATTTCAGGAAACTGGGCCTTAAATCCCAAAAGGTCATCAATAGACTCCTCATATAACATCCTTCCCACGGTATAGTACCAAAGGAATTTAACTTATTGGGTCTCCATTTATCTAGCTTTCAGGAAGAGGCTCCTAGCAGCTATCACTCTAGATTCTCTACATAACTATCCAATGGCTGCATGATTACCTTGGGAACCAGTGGGATGGTCTGCTCAAAGTGTATAAATAAATTAAATTTTGAGTTTGTGATTTGCTATCACTGAATTGCTATTTTTGAGTGTCTGATTTGCTATTAATTTCAATAGCGAACCTGCAGTTACTTTTGCACCAACCTGATATACTTAATAAATTGATGAATGAAGGTAAGATTTTACCTAACAATGCTCAGTGTTGCAGAAATGGGTAGCATGCATACATTTCAAGCAATAACCTTTAATGGATATTTTTAAAGAGTGAGTCCAATGACTCAGTAATGCTTACCGGTGGTTATTCTACCTCTTGTCGTTGCACTTCCACCTAGGGAAGCTGTGGCCCCTGAGAGACAGAAAAACAGGGAAGTCATATTAGGAAATATTCAAGGACCATGAAAAGAACATGATGCAACTTCTTGAAAGAACAGCAGCAGAGGAGACATCGAACATCGAAATATGGGAGGAGCTCTGAAGGTTCCCTGGCAACCTGCAGACTCACCCGTGTTGGAACTGCCAGGGGCAAGAGTTGTGCCAGGAGCTGCCCTGGTGGTGGCTGAAACACAAGGAAGAGTGTGATCACCATGATGATCAACATTTCCCTTTCCTGTAGGCCTGCCTCTAAAAACTATCTAGGCCTATCTGAATTATTTATAAATGGTACTTTCACCGATTCTTCCTGAGGTGGTACCCTGTATAATTATCGTTATCCATTTTACTAGCAAAACAATCAGAAGGTCGAGTTCCTCAACCTAAGGCAATATTTCTGGTCTTCCATGAGGAGACAGGTGGTGGTCCCCATGTTTACCATTTTACTTCCCAGAATATGGAAGACAAAAATAATTTTCCTGGGACTCTTACACATCAAGAATATACTAAACATTTCTCTTGCTTCTAAGTCATCAAACCACTCTTTAGGAACGTTTCTAAGGTTCACTTAAGTTTTTTCTTCTTCCCTACAACAAAACTGTTCATAGTTCCTAGTAATACCCTGGCAACGTTTCTATGAAACCTCACAGGAGAAACTTCTCAGAACAAATTCAATAGAAATCCCACTATAAAAGAGGCTATTGGTAAAGTTTTAGAAAATATAAAATCTAAAGGGAGTTCTACCAGGCCTAAGATTCATTATCCCTAAATAAATGCATAATATCCTGCAGAAAAGTCCACTCCCAAACAAGTCATCCTAATGAGAGTCAAGATTCACAGTGACATGCGAATTATGGGCTGCTCGTCCTCACCTGCTCTGGAGTCAGTTTCTGTACTGCCCCTGCCTCTTGTGAAAGTTGTGGTCTCTGAGAAAAGAAAGAATAAAATCAAGAGGTCTGGGAGACACTGGCAAAAAGCATCAAGTTGCTATTTTGTGATTGCAGCTCTACAAC